GCGGCCGTGCTGGGCGCGGTGGCGCTGGCCATAACGCGCCGGGTGCGGTTGCCCCTGCCGGGCGTGCTCATCAACATCGGGCTGCTGCCGCTTTACTGGTACTGGTTCTTCGTCGTAGCGTTCCTCTACGCCGACTTCGGGCCGCCGCCACTGCCGCCGCCGAACAAGTCGCGCCGCCGGCGCAAGGCAGCGGAGGACGCGGCGGGCAGCGGCGCGGTGACGGCGGCGAACGGCGCGGCGGCGACGGGCAACGGCACGACGCCGGCGGAGCGCGCCTCGACGCTGCAGGTGACGCTCGGCCAGGCCGTCTGGTACTGGGCGGCCATCAACGCGGCCATGATGGACGACGCGCGGCAGCGCGAAGAAGCGCCGCCGTCGCCGCCGCCGCCGCCGCGCGCGCGGTCCGGCTGGTCGCTCAGCTCGCTTCGGGGCCTGCTGCGCAGGATGAGCAGAAGCACTGACGCCGGCGGCGGCGAGGAGACGGCGCTGCCTCTCACCGAGCAGGGCCTCCGTCCGGCGACCGGCGAGCCCGCTGATGAGATTTGAGGCGCGCCGGTCCAGACGTTCGCGGTGCGGACTGTTGGCGTGTGGTTTGCGGGGGCTCAGCGGGGCGTGGACATAAGGACGATTGCGGCGCGGGCGGGGGAAGTGCGAAGAGTGGCGGTGCTCGCAAGACGCGGGTCTCAGCAGACAGCTGTGGCGCGGTCCTGCGCCGCGCAACGACGGTGCCCGTCACGCCGCCACGAAGGCCGCCTCGGAAATGCGTCGTGAAGTGTCAGTCCAAGCCTGGCCGTCCGTCGATGCGGGTGCAAGGTTGTGACTCACTATCGGTATGTATTCGCCACCCGGTCAAGAGCAGGCGACACGTTAGCCGAGGCTGGGACCCGGCGAGGGGTGCCGCAGCACGCGACGCTGCGAGCGGACGGGCTCCGGTGACGGCGGCGCTCCGGCACTGATGGCGTCCGAGGAGGCGCTGCCTGCCGCTGTCATCTCGGCCGGACGGCTGGAGTGCGGCCATCGCGGGGCGGCGAGCTGTGGTGGGTTCAAGATAGATGGGGAGGTGGTCCAATTCTAACTGAAGGGTTGTGCCTGAGAAATAGCTTTCATCTGTGGCGACCCAGGGCTGTGTGCTAAGTGATTTATCGACATCAGCTTCTCCTTATCGGAAGCACAGAGCCGTCTGACAATGACCAAACGCTTGGCTGTCTCGTATTCCTTGTCGCGGATTGCGCACGAGCTATTATCATGCTGACTGTGACTGTGCCATTTGCATCTGAGTTGGTGGCTCGCGTACTCTCGCCTTCTCATCTAGGCGAATGCACGGTTATTATCTCGTATGCATATACTCATTGCTGCGTGCGTCGCACATCGTACCCATTGCGGCAGACTGAATTGCAAGCAGATCGGCGAATGCCGGCTGTCTTCCTCCGGAGTGCTGCGTCGTGCAGGTGCACGCGCGGTTCTCGATACACCGCTCCTGTCAGTCCAGCGTTCAACGGTTTGCGACCGGCCGGCGTAGCCCAGCTTTGCCGCGCGCAGTGAATACAACTCCGCCCACCTCCCGCGGAGGATGTACGCCCTCTGATCATCGCGCGCCGCTCTCTGGCGTGTCGACGCCGCGGCGGCTCTGGCGCGTCACGGTCGACGCCGCCGGCGCGGTTGTCCGACCTGATTTGACCTGGGTCGGTACAGAGGGTCGGCAGCGCCGCCCGGCGTGTTCTGTGCTGCCAGGCTCGTCCCCTCCCGCTTCGGTTGTAACCCAGCTCGCGTCCCGAGGACCTCCAGCTGTGGGTAGGGGCTTAGCGCCTGGCGTCTGTTGCTGGGCGTGATGGCCGCACGCTATTCCAAGATTAAGATTGCGCGCTTGAGATAAGGTCGAATGATTGCTCTCTTAGAAAAAATGGCCGTGCTTTTAGGAGTCCTGACACTATGGTGTCACATCAACAGTCACCAATGCAATGCATTCAAAAGGACGTTGTTAGGGGTTGGCGTAGCTCGTTTGGGCGTGGTCCGGCACCACCCACCTGCGATCGAACGCGGCTGGAGAGTCCTGGACACCCGGCGGGCTGGGCTGACCTTGGACCGGGCTCGGGCGGCCGTGGGCTTAGTCAGCTGGCTGTGGGCTCAGCTCAGCTGACCGTGGCTCAGCTCAGCTGGCCGTGGGCTCAGCTCAGCTGACTGTGGCTCAGCTCAGCTGGCCGTGGGCTCAGCTCAGCTGACCGTGGGCTCAGCTCAGCTGGCCGTGGGCTCAGTCGGCTGTGGGCTCAACTCAGTTGGCCGTGGGCTCAGCTCGGCTGGCCGTGGGCTCAGTCAGCTGGCCGTGAGCCGAGCCGGGCCTGCGGTGAGTCCGGCTCTAGCGGCTGCGTGATCGGGAGCGCCGGTGCCGGGCTGACAGGCTGTTGGTCGGGTGGACAGGCCGTCAGTGCGGCCCGCGCGCCTCCGGTCGTCGAGAGTCCGGCTCCACCGACTGCGGGTCCTAAGGATTGACCAGCTGTGGCGTCGACGGGGCGTGAGCTCGCCTTCCCTGACTGTGTCGCGGACGCCACCGAGTCCAAGACCTTTTTTCATAGGTTCGTAGGTTCGTGGACCTCGAGCCCCAACGGCGGCCTGCCTCACGTGACCCAGGCCCGGCTGCTGCGGCCGACCCCGCATCGATCGGGCCCGACCGACGTGGGGGCGGCGCCGGCCAGCCGGTCTCCGCCGCCGCCTCGGCACTGACAGATACACCACAGAGACGCGCGACACCAGCCGGAGGCTGTCGTCCAGGCGCCGGCCCAGCGAGCTGGAAGCCGACGCGACTCTGTGGCGTGTGCTGGCGCCTGGCATGCCTCAAGCTCGGCGACCGCGGCTGCAGTGTTTTTTTCTGCTGGATTGGGACGCGTTTGCACTGGAGCGCACAGCGCCGGGTGATGCAACAGAGGGCGTGCGTCCTCGTTGGTTAACCTGATCGCGCCGATGAGAGGACGTGAACCTGTCCGCGGCGCCAGTGTGTCAAAGACCGCTCGCACGATCACGACAGCCAGCGGCATCCGCCGGCTCCACTTGGGCGACCGTTTTGACGGTCACGAGCGGGGGCCGTGGGGATCGAGACCACCCGAGCACCGACCCACTGGACTACTGCTGCAGGATCTCGACTTTACGTTGGAGGTGCCGCCGGATCGAGAAGCGGTCACCTGCCACGCCGAGCAGCCGCTGTTGTGCGAGTAATTCGTAGTCTAGGATACCGAGCACGACAGGACGGGCCACTTTTTTGGTGCCGTTTGTACGCTTGGGCGCCGTAAGACACCCTGATGTTGGCAGTACACTACCATGCAACAATTGTGCGGTCGGTATACGTTTTGATGCGTGCTTCTTAACGGCAATGTTTTTTTCGCTCGACGTTGTTCAGCCATTTGATTTAGTTCATTTGCAAATTACCTTGTGCTTGCCAGGAAAATTCGACCATCAGATACCAACAGGCACGCACGCACCCATTTGAGGCCCACCGATGGGCCGGACGTGCTCATTGTGGATGACGCACGCACCCATTTGAGGCCCTCCGATGGGCTGGACGCGCTCATTGTGGGTGGCGTGGTCAGAGTTTCCTCGTTCAATGAGGCGTGTGACCTGCTGTAGTACTTAAGTATGCTACAGCTTGTCTTTATCCAATTCAATTGAATATTTTACTTTCGTTACTGATAGGATCATTCAAATACAGACGCGATGGAACTCCTGCCAGAGTTGGGGGAGGGCGGTATCCATTTTTGGTCAATTCCTTGCAATCCACACCTATACGGGGAGTGTTTCTTTTTTCATCGCAGTTGTTTCCTTATCCAGAAAATGGTTTGAAGTTCGTTCTGGAGAGTCTTTGTCACTAGCGGCTGCATTTCGGAGAGGACGTCCGTGGGCAGCTGTCAGCGTTGGTAGCGGATGCTTGGGAACTTGGTTGGCAGGAGGAGGTATGTGTGTGGGTGGTGATGGAGGGGAGGGGGGGGGGGGGGTAGGATGTGCGGGCATACTTGGTAGTTGTGCCGCTCCTATTTACGCGGCGAAAAGTTATTTGTGTTTGCTCGTGGTGTGCCTGTGACTTCGGAGGTCACGCTTTCGCTGACACAGAGGCGTATGCGCGTACACCGGCTCATCCCGTGGTGAACCCCGAGTGATGTGTGTTTCCCCTGACCCGTGCGTTCCCTAACCCGTGAGTGTCCCTGACCCGTGAGTTCCCCTGACCTGTGCGTTCCCCTGACCCATACGTTCCCCTGACCCGTGGGTCCCTCTGACCCGTGAGTGCCCCTGACCCGTGAGCTCCCCTGACCCGTGAGTTCCCCTGACCCGTGAGCTCCCTTGACCCGTGAGTTTCCCTGACCCGTGAGCGCCCCTGACCCTTGAGCGCCCCTGACCCGTGAGCTCCCCTGACCCGTGAGCTCCCCTGACCCGTGAGCTCCCCTGACCCTAACGCTCTCTGACCCGTGAGCGCCCCTGACCTGTGAGTTGCCCTGACCCGTGCGTTCCCCTGACCCGTGAGTCCCTTTGACCCATGAGTTCCCCTAAACCATGAGTTCCCCTGACCCGTGAGTGCCCCTGACCCGTGAGCTCCCCTGACCCGTGAGTTCCCCTGACCCTAAAGCTCCCTGACCCGTGAGCGCCCCTGACCCCGTGGGTCTCTCTGACCCGTGAACTCCCCTGACCCGTGAGCTCCCCTGACCCTAACGCTCTCTGACCCGTGAGCGCCCCTGACCTGTGAGTTGCCCTGACCCGTGCGTTCCCCTGACCCGTGAGTCCCTTTGACCCATGAGTTCCCCTAAACCATGAGTTCCCCCGACCCGTGAGTGCCCCTGACCCGTGAGCTCCCCTGACTCGTGAGTTCCCCTGACCCTAAAGCTCCCTGACCCGTGAGCGCCCCTGACCCCGTGGGTCTCTCTGACCCGTGAACTCCCCTGACCCGTGAGCGCCTGTGACCTGTGAGTTCCCCTTACCCGTAAGTGTTTCCCCTGACCAGTACTGCCCTGCCCGCCCGGCAGCGGTAGCGGACCGGTACCGGCTGCGGATCGAGCGGCTCGAGGCGCAGGTGGACGAGGTGTTCCGGCTCGAGCGCGAGGAGCGCGAGCTGCGCAACAGCGAGGCTCAGCTGACCAAGGCCGAGCGCCAGCTGACCACGCAGCAGGAGCGGCCGCGCACCTGGTTCCAGTCGCAGCAGCAGCGCGCCAAGGCCAAGCGTGGGTCACGCCGCCCGCCGCGCGCGCGCGTGCAACCGGCGGGGTCGGGTCGGGTCACGGCAGGGGGGGGGGAGGGAGGTGACTGATGTTGTGTAGAAGGTGTCGTCGGCCGTGCGCTGCGATGGGGGGGGGGGGGGGGACGGCGTGCGCTGGACGCTGCGGGCTTGGGCTCTGGTTGCGGGCGTGAGCTCTGATGGCTCCATACGAGCGTGTGTAGATCATGACGCGGCTCCGTTATCGGGAGCGCAGTGTTGATAGTTTGGTTAGGTGCGCGGTGGATGTCGGCACGTCGTGCTGTGCGTTTGCAGATAAGCAGGAGTTTTCAATGTCCTTGGGAGTATGCAGGTATGCAGGTAAGAACCTGACTAGTAAAGCACACTTGGAAAGCTAGCACGTCGACTGCGCACAACGCAACGCACTTCTTCCGGTCCCGGCACTGCTGTGGCCTGTTGCTCAGGATTTTCGACTCATCGGCGTATGCTGACGCGTTGCTAAGCGACTGCGTCAGATAGCTGCGCGGAATTGTTCTCACCTGTGTTTTGTTCGCCACAGAGGCCGCCAAATTGGAAGTCGGCGACGAAGGCTCTGCCAAGGCCAAGAAGAAGAAAAAGAGGAAGGAGGTGACGGCCGAGCAGCGCGTGGAGAAGGAACTGCAGAAGCGGTACCTGCTGCAGGCCAAGGCGGCCAAGAGGGCGTCCCGACGCGCCGGCGGTCCGGGCGCCACCCCCGTACCAGGTCAGTGACCCGCGGCGGTACGTTCAGTGGCCCCCGGTTGGGGTCGGCGAACCGCGGCTGAGGTCAGCCCCCTAGCGGCAGTGACCTGGCCAGCATCTGAAGGCTAGTGACCCTGATATCGGTGTCGGTATGCGACCGGTCACTGTCGTCGACTCGTCAAGATGTCGTGAAGGTGTCGGTGCACCGGACCGGCCAGTGGCGGTGCAGTGCCGGGTCGGGCCGCCGCATGTGACGGCGACAGCGATGACACAACGTCCTGGGTGCTGCGCGACCATGCGCGGCCGAAATACGCCATATGATCTTCTCCGTCATCGTACCCTGTTTACGATCACGTTGATGTGAGATCGGTGTTCGCTCTGGAAGCGCGGTTCAAAGGCAGACAGCGTGCATTTGGCCAGAAGTGCGACGCCCGAGTAAGACACCGACTTGCACCTGTTTTGAACCCCAGCGGTAATGGGTATTCGGAGGTTGACGGTATAAAAACAAACCCCTGAGAGTAAGCCGCATGAGAATGGCGTTCCAAGCTGTTTGACACGCCCGTCTTACAGTGAAGAAGAAGAAGGCGAAGGGTGGCAAGAAGGGTCTGAACCTGACGGCGGAGCTGACCGACACCAGCCAGAGAGCGGTCAAGGGCTACCGGCACAGGTGAGCGCTGTTGCGGCCACGGCGGCGGTGGATCCGTGCAGTTGATCGTTGGTTTCGTCGTGAAGGAAACGTGACGTCAGTGAAGGAAACGTGACGTCATTAATGCGCAGGATCGAGTGTCGGCTGTACAGACGCCGGGAGGTGCACCATGGTATAGCACAAACGGTTCATTTTAATTCAGATTTCAAGTCTAAAACGTCGGTTAAGGGGATAAACAGTCAGGCGCTTTCAAGCTTAAGCGTGACCTCCATGATCGGTGTATTAGGCCATAATCTAATCACAGAACGGCAGTTTAAAAGGTCTTGTCAGATCGCTGACCTGCGGTAGGGTGAGGCTTTCCACTTTGGCGTCGCTGACAGCATTCATATTCGTCCCTGACGCCCGAGCCGTAGTCGGTAGCGGATGCATTCAATCGTAGCAATATGAACAGCATATTTCGTTCGAAAGAAACAAAGTTGTTAAGTTTTTGTAGCCAATCTCTACAAAGTCGTACAAAGTCATGTTGCAAAGTCTCACGCGATTCATTACAAAGGTGTCAAAAATTTTACAGCAAATCTCATGTTAGGAATATTTGACGGTGGGATGGGGAGACTCTTGTCGGGTAAGTCGCTTTTATTTTTTAGTCTTTTTGTCTGCCCCGTATTGATAGGGAGCCCAGTGCAAGAACTCCGCGAAAATCTCTTGGATGGGATGATAATGACTTTGGAAAAAATCGAGGAAAATAGACTTGTAGCTCGAGCCGGGCAAACCCCAACCAAACATTTGCGTGTCTCAAGTTTCCATTATTACATAATATACTCAGCTTGCCAGTTATGTGCTAAACGCCACCGTGCTTCCTATTCAAGACGTCGTACCTATGTTCTTGACAGTTTACGTACCACTAATATCAATGTGTTAAGCATCAAATTTGTATTTAAGCGTCAACGTTGAAGCTTTGTCGAATATTTGACCGCGTACTGGTGCCATTTAGCAGCCGTCCTTAGGCGACCTGGCAACGGCATTATTCTCCGCAGCTATCAGCTACAGGATCCGTTGTCGTGCTTAGCCATGCGCATACATAATCTAGCTGAGTTTGCATGCCGAGACTCCGCCGTGACCCACCCCGGTCGTCATCACCAGCGCAGCGGACGGCGGTGTGAACGCGGGCACCCGCGCCTGCCTTCCAGAGGCCGCTGTCGCGTGTGGTCCGGCTGTCCCGACCCGCCCCGAGGCAGGGGCAGAGCGTGAGCGTCTCCTGACCCCGCCCTCTGTCACAGGGCGACGGAGAGCCTCCGGGAGCGAGCAGCGGAGAAACGGGGCGGCGGCCGCGGCCGGGGACGCGGCAGGGGAGGCCGCGGCGGCGCCCCCGGCGGCGCCGGCAGGGGCGCCGCGGGCGGGCGGGGCGGCGGCGAAGGCGCCGGGCAGCGGGGAGGCAAGAGGGGAGGCGGCAGAGGAGGCGGCAGAGGGGGCGGCAGGGGAGGTGGTATGGGAAGCGGTACGGGAGGCGGCAGAGGCGGTGCTAGGGGAGGCGGCAGGGGAGGCCACAAGGCTGGCGGCAGGGGAAAACGTGGCGGGCGGTGACCAGGTTCAAAGTGATCGGGAGAGGGGGCGAAGGCGGGAAGACGGAAGTGGAGGGCAAGAGCAGGCCCTGCGGCGTGTTGTCTTTGTACTGTGTGTATGGAGAACCAATACAAAACTGCGATCGTGGAGCGTCAGTCCACTGTGCCTTTCGGCGTGCTGTCGCCCGGCTCACGGCGTCACGTGACTCCTCGGCTCTCTGCAGCTGCGGCGCGTGTGACCGCGGTGGGGTGGACGCGTGCTGATCACCGGCCGGCGGTCACCCCGCGCTGCCGCGGCCTCAGGGCTCGCGTGTGGCGCGGCGGTGGAGCCACCGTCGGCGCGCTGGACGCCGCACGAGTCCCGTGAGCCCACCCCGCGCGAGCACGGAGGCGGAGGACAGACGGCGCAGGTCGGGTGAGCGGCGGCTGCGCCTCCGCGGTGTCCTCCACGCGAGAGACTGGCCAGCTCGGATGGTTGGGAAAGGGAGCTCAGAAACCACACGCTAACCGCCCGTGGTCTCCAAGGGAAGCACGGCGCCATGTAACGCAGATCCACGCAAACTCTACTTTGCCTCATCGCGGCATGTGGCAGCCGACGCCATGCGGGAATAAACCGCTCGGGCAATCCGGACTGGCTGGCGCTGTCTTCTATCCGGGAGCACCAGTGCGCTAAACACCATTTGCCGTCACGCTGAGCCGCGTGCCCCGATTGTTCTGCACCACGAAACACACGCGAGTTAGATTGGTAACGTGTACAGTGTATTGCCAGCAATATTACCGTGTCTTACGAACAACGCACTGGTGAGTTCCATACATGTGAGCTAGGACCAAACACTGGCTTCTTGGTACAAAACATTAGCTTAATATTTCAACACAGCACTGACCTCCCTTGCGTCAACGAGGTGCATGCGGTTAGAGAGCGACAGGAGAAAGCCGAGGCCGGGGCAGAAGCCAGGCAGGAGGACGATGTCCGATTCGAGACAGCGACGGCCGACGATCACGTAGAGCACGGCAGCGGAATTTGACGGACGCCCAGGCGCGCACAGAACAGTGAGGGAGATCAACAAACCACGAAACAGTCGGCCGACACAGCCGTAACACAGGCGGCGGAAGCGTGCGCGCAGTGCGCACAACAGAAACAGGCGCCACCGGCCCCGCCAAATGCAACAAAACTGTCGGCGCAGTCGATATGTACACGCTACTGGAAGCATCAGCCGGAGACGGTGCCGGCGGGCGGTCCGACGCGCTTCAACAGTCGCCCGCGCCACGCGGCGGGACTCTCGGCGGGCTCACTCGGAGGCACTCGGGTCAGCACGCTGGACTATGAGGTCAGGACGAGGCAGGGGGCTGAGCCGCACAACGCGGGTGGACCAGGGGAGGCGCACGGCCTCCGTTAGGGCAGGGCCGGATCGTCCGGGAGGCTGGCCGGATCGTCCGGGAGGCTATCCGTACCGTCCGGGAGGTATCGTCCTCGACAGGAACGGATTCGGCACGACAAAGGTCATCAGCGGAGCTGCGGAGAGCGGGAAGGGGCGAGGCGGTGGACGGCAAGGGGCTGGAATCATCGACGTGTCTCGCGCACGCTGGATTGGAGCCCGGCCCGCTAACAAGGCACGGCCTCCACCTCACAGCCGCTCCGTACGCAACGTGGACGGCAGGAAGCGGGGACGGTGTCCTCCAGGCAATCACGGTAACGCGAGGCGACTCCGACAGCGACCTTTCACGGCCGTCACGCAGCCGCCCCCCGCGCCGGGCGCGCGCGCCAGCATTACGTAAGTATGACGCCTGTGAGCGCGGCTGCGGCCCACGCACGTTCAACGCGCAGCTCCGCGCCTCTGCGCGGGCGCCGCTACTGACCCTGTGGCGCACTGCGCCGCAATATCCGCCATTCACTCCGGCGGCGCCGGCCGGGCACTCTCCCTATCACAAAGTAAAAAACTGAGCGCGCCGCCGGACGGCGAGCCGCTGACCGGCGCGTGGCTGGCCGGCGCGGCGGGCGCGCTCGCTCGGCGGGAGTTCGTCCGGGAGGCCGGCCGGGCGTCGGCGCGGTGCTCCTTGGCACGGGCCATCCTCTGGGGCGCGCGCGGCGGGCGGCGGCGGGCGGCCGCCTCTGACTAGGGCCGCTGCGAGCGGCGCCGGCCGTCCGCCGCCGCCTCTTTGGATCGACGAAAGCGCTAGGTGGCCGGCCGGCCGGCGGTCAGTCGTCGTCCTCGTCGCTGGAGGAGCCGCCGCCGTCCAGGTCCGAGTCGGCGCGCAGCGAGCGGGCGCGCGCCGCAGCCGCCGCCACGTCCGACGGCGACTTGTCCTTGCGGAACTCGTACACCAGCGGAAAGATGTGCTCGATCGCCTGCTGCACGGCCGACACGGACGGCGCTGCGGGCACGTCGGCGACCGGGGTCACACGGAGGTCACCGATGTGTGCGGGGGGAGGGGAGCTAACGGACGGCGCTGCGGGCACACCGGCGACCGGGTCACACGGAGGTCACCGGTGTGTGCGGGGGGAGGGGAGCTAACGGACGGCGCCGCGGGCACGCCGGCGACCGGGGTCACACGGAGGTCACCGGTGTGTGCGGGGGGACGGGAGCTAACGGACGGCGCTGCGGGCACACCGGCGACCGGGTTACACGGAGGTCACCGGTGTGTGCGGGGGGAGGGGAGCTAACGGACGGCGCTGCGGGCACGCCGGCGACCGGGGTCACACGGAGGTCACCGGTGTGTGAGGGGAGAAGGGAGCCAACGGGCGGCGCTGTAGCTTTGGGGCGATACATCATACGGGGTGGGGGTGGGGTGGAAGGGTGGAGGCAGACAGAGGACGAGGAGCTCGCACGTGGAGCGGGGCTACGACAGGTGGGGAGGGGGGGCAGGTAGGAGGTTACGTGCCGGGCGTCGTTACGGCACATGACGACCGTCACGCGACGAGACGCTGGAGGACGAAACTAATCAGCCTACAGCGACACGCACACAGCCTCACGACGGGCTGCAGCGGGATGTAAAGGCAAGAGACTGAGCGGGCACCAGCTGTTTGTCAGGAAACGGGATGATCCCCCCAGCAGTCAATAACTTTCATGAATAAAGACGTTTGAAATGACAGTTATGTCATAAAAGCAAAAAACATATCATTATCATAATGACGTTTGTAGACAACGATCAGTTCAGTGCGCAATACGCGAATACAAACTGGACGGAGAAACATGTCGTTCACAGAAACAAAATGGGTGTCCGAACGTAGCCAAATGAGTGCTCGTGTCAAACACACTTCTCATACACCAGCTGCGCGAATTGCGACTCAGCCCGCTGTACTGCACTACTGCTTCCTGAGACCGGTACCCGATGAATTCCCGTGGCAGATTGAGATGATACAGTCCACCAGACCACAACACCTGCGCATCTCTGCACCGCTTCAGGAGCGTCCAGTCTGCCGCCGTCGGCCCGGCCACTGACCTGTGACAGTGATGCTGCCCGTCGAGAAGACCTTCAGCGTCGCCTTGAGGTGGTTGACACGGTACGTCACGCCAGGGTGCAGCTCCGGCTCGTAACTGCCGCAAACGCACAGGTCAGGTCAGGTCAAGTCAGGTCAGATCAGGGGGTGGGTCATGCCCCGGTGCACAGCCAACACCGGTCGGTCGCCACAGGGGTGTCACCGCCAGACGAGACCCGGCACGTGCCCTAGAACGTGAACACTGGCGGAACACGACCCTGGACCGGGGACCCTGATAAAACACGACCCTAGGCCGGGCACACTGGCGAAACACGACCCTGGACCGGGGACACTGGCGAAACACGACCCTGGACCGGGGACCCTGATAAAGCACGACCCTGGACCGGGCACACTGGCGAAACACGACCCTGGATCGGGGACACTGGTGAAACACGACCCTGGACCGGAGACACGACCCGAACTAGAACCACGAGCCAACTACGGTGACTTGTCCTTGCGGAACTCGTACACCAGCGGGAAGATGGCCGGGCCGGCGACGGCAGAAACAGTTCACCAGTCTACCAGTAGAAACGCGACCTGGACCCTACAGAGATATGTACGCAACATGACCCTGAACCGGGACCCCACCGAAACACGACCCTGGACCGGGAACACAGATGAAACACGACGCTGGACCGGGGACACTGATGAAACACGACACTGGACCGGGAACACTGGTGAAACACGACCCTGGACCGAGAACACTGATGAAACACGACCCTGGGCCGGGAACACTGATGAAACCAACCCTGAACCGGGAACACTAATGAAACCAACCCTGGACCAGGGACACTGGCGGAACACGCCCGCCGCCAGGACGGGGGCGGCTGCGGCCGCGGGCCAGCCGGCCGGCCGCCGTTGCCAGCCGGCTCTCCACCGCCCGAGCCGGCGGAAGCGTCAGTGATCCGGAGCCACACGACGGTGCAGACTTCACGACAACGCTCAAAATCAATGGCCGGTGTATCGGCAGGTTGATATCGCCGCGCGGCCGGCCTGATAATCAACATTCATCACGCTACAAGTCCACGGCCCTGGCACAGCGACCCGAGCCACACCAACGTGGTCAGGCACCACTGCAACAGGCGCATAGCCAAGCGTCCAGCTGCGCTGATGACACTTCTCCCCGCTTGTTGGCCGGGGAGCAGACCGAGAATGGATGGTGCGACGAGTCGGCCATTACGAGGCTTCGCCCAGTCATATATAATGCATGAGTCGACCCACTGCACGGGTGAGCCGGCCACCGTCGGCTGGACCGCCCCCGGCGCCACTGACAGTACCGCCGCTGACAGTCCGAGAGCGGATGACAACACCGGCACGCCGCGAGCCGACACAAGCGACACCGCCCGGCGCAGCGCCGGCCGCCGTCGGCTGGGCCGCCCGGGCGCCACTGACAGTAGCGCCGCTGACAGTCCGAGAGCGGATGACAACACCGGCACGCCGCGAGCCGACACAAGCGACACCGCCCGGCGCAGCGCAGTACTCCCACATTTCCCCGGCTGGGCCGCAAGGATGTCAACATTCGTCCGCGGATGTCAAGCAGGCTGAGGCAATACACATCGGACAAAGTCGCTGCCGGGATGCGCGAGGGTTCAAGGTTCAGCTGAGTGACGGGCGATGGCCTGAGGTGGCCGCCCAGGGGAGCCCCCACAGGTCTGACGGCATGCATTTTCATTTACATCCCCGACACCCACTCGACTGAACCTGGGAACGTTGGCAACATGTACTGATCACCGATGGGGTGGGACCATGCACATCCAGCGCCGTTGTGCCGTCAGCCTCCAATCCCAACAACGCAGCGCGCCCCGGAGCTCCGGTCGGCAGAAATCAGTCACCAATAGTTATCAGATGATGTCACGGTACTTCTGCCGGCCTGTGGCGACGACAGCCGACACTTTCAGACGCGCCGACAGCTGTTATCAACCAGCACCGATCCTCTGCGGGCCCCGAGCAGACAACCGAGCCCGACTGCAGCACGCGACACCCCCGCAGCCTAGCCGGCGGCCAGCCGTCAACTCACCAAGCGATGCGCGGGTACTTCTGCGAAAAGTCGGCGATCTTGATCGAGAAGGGCATGGTGCACGTGCCCAGCACGTTGACCACGCGGAAGTTGCGGAAGCGCACCTGGTAGTCCAGCTGCTTCTGGAGGTAGCGCGCCACGCGGCGGGCGGCTACCTTGGCCTCCGCCTCCGACGTCGAGCCGGTGCAGGTGATCTTGCCGGACGACCACATGGAAGCGGTAGTGTAAGGCCGGCGCAGCTTCATCGTCACCATCTGGGAGCAGGCGGGTCGGCACACCAGTCAGAGGGAGGGCGACAACCTGGGGGCTCAGCTAACGCGGGGGAGGGGAGTGGCTTCCGATCAGTGGATCGGCCACTGACGAGGTGGGCTGCCAATGAGTTTGGATGTCGGAGGGGTCGGGTACCAGTGCCAGGGGCACGGGTTGGGTACCGAGGTGCGTTCAGTACTATCGGCCACAGGGGGTTCTAAGGGGAGGCTGGGTGCTGGCCAAGACCGGGATGGAGTTCACCTGCGGAGGGTACTGTTCACGTTGGAGGGTGGGGGTCGGCCACCCAAGGGGCAGAGGTCGACTGACGAAAGATGGGGTGGACTGATGGGACGTCGGGTGGAGGCAAGCAGATTTTCGTATCATTAGATGATATTAGGGCTTAATGGTGAACAAATGGGGTGATCAACTTTCATGATACACTATAGTTATACCTACATAGTACCTAAGTGCTGTCATATTGATAACCCTTATTTCCATCCTGCTTTTGGGAAGCAAAGGGCTAATTGACAACACATAATGCAATCAGACAAGACAACACTATTCAACAAGACACCAATGCAACCGATGGCAAGGACATCATGCTGAAAGTGAAGGGCAAAGATTAACCGGATACCACAACAGGAACGAACACCACACGCAATGAACAACTGTAAAACTCCACCACCTGTTGGTCAAGACTTACAACAACCCAGTCACAAATCACAACGAAACTGAAACATCACAAGGTACATCTGCCAAAGCCTGCCTCCCACAAGCATTTTCAGTGAGACAGGCACAGCCCATTTCAGCCCCGCCGCGGGCCCAGCGGCGCGCTCCCGCTACACGCACCCCGTTCTCGCGGCGGTACTCCACGTTGTGTCCGTTGAGCGCGATGTGCTTCAGGTCCAGGTGGCAGCTGACACTGAAGCTGGAGACCACGTTGTTGATGACGATGTCGATGACGGGCTCGTCGTCCTGCTGCGCGGCCGGCGGCGAGGCGGGCGCGGCGGCGCAGGCGGGCGCCGGCGCGGGCGCGGGCACCGCCGGCATCGGGCTGGCAGAGGTCAACGTCTGCACCAGTGCCATCGCTGCCCCCTCCTGTTGGGCAGCCATGTCACATGCTGACTGCTTGCCTTCAGTGAGGTCGTGGTGCACTGCTGCAGCTCTCCAGTGGGCTACTCCAGGTTTTGAGCTATCAAGAGTGGTGTCAGAAGGTTTGTGGCACACATTGGCCATATGCCAGCTCAGCAGAGTTGAGGCTAAATCTCAGAGCACTTATAAAGGATGACCTGGGTTGACTTTGACACAGTTTAATACAGATCACCCTGATATCCTGTTGGACCAAGAATCTGTGGTTTAGATTTTGTTCAGAATACAGATCTAACTGGAATTGTTATGGCCGACTACCAACTATGCCACAGATATATCAAAATAAAGAAATATGAAATTTGATACCAAAATGTTTTAATACCAGCAGCTACCACACGCTGCACACCATGCTTCAACTAGCATATGACGTCGATGCTTATCAACTTAAGCAGCTCCTGACTGCTTGTCTCCTATAACAAAATAGACAAAAAATCATATTCTGAGATCTCAATGATTCACCATAAATATGCATAACATCTTGATTTCCATGCAACACATATAATACCTGCTGATGAAATGTTGCTATATGTAGATGGTGATGGTGCATGTATGCAGATATGAGCATGCCATGAATAACCAGATGAACACACATAAACAAATAAATGACTACAAATGAGGAAATATGTTATCATGGTGCAGCAATAAATGAATCTAGTTATGAAGTAACATAATATTTGCAAATACAAACCAAGCTCTCCTGGGCAGTGTCAGTTTGAGTTAGGTACTGCGCTAGAAATAGGGAATATTTGTATGTTCATAATTCTTTGTCCCATAAAAAGCTGTCAAATCTGGTCACACAAATCTGGACAATCCAGTGTCTCATCACTAATGATGGTGTATTTCACCTCAATTCAAACCGATATAAGCTTGACCTAAATGCAGGCAACTCCCAGAGTATAACACTGAATAATGTGCTTTTCTGAGCCCTATCTTCATGAAATCTTATAGAAGTGAAAAATATGAATAAGAGTAAGGGGTATTAAAAAGGAATGAGGAACAAACTTAGCACACCAAAAAAGGAGCTAAGATTTTCTGATCACTCATTTTTTACCACTCTTTCCAGCTTCTTAGTACCACATCCCTCTCACGATATCCTTCCAATTTTGATGATTCCTTATCATACCGAATACACATCTCAATCAGGCCTCTGAGGTGTAGAGGCTCTAAATTATCCTGAACAAATTCATAACCAATACACCTCAATCAGGCCCCTGAGGTGTACAGGCTCTAAATTATCCTGGAAAATGACCATCAATCTCTGCTTACTTACTGTCACGGATACGGGTGGATTGTGTGAAGTCGCACAGCCGGGAGCTTTGACAGGCCGAGGCGGACAAAGCCGTACATAAATCGTTCCGACCTTTCCCTGTATTTAGTCAGGGATGTACGAACTCTCCAGTTTCAGCTTTCTAGCTGCGTTATCGTTACATATAGGACTGCAAGTGCGCCTCTCACAGACGGGAAAACCGCCTCAATTTGCCTTATTCACGTTGATATGTCGCCCGTCCCACGCCGCCTTATTCGGGGCGCTCCACCCGGAAGCGCGACTGGGACTGGCGCTGCGCTGTAAACTCAAGCTACCTATCGGCTTTCAAGTACGAGATCCATAGTATTTGGTTTTGTTGTACTAGTGTGCATGAGGGACGCTATGACGTAATTTAGCTGGGAAAATAAACGATTTTAGTAGAAAAGTATTAGTATCTTATAAACGTACGTAATTGGGTCATTTATTAGAAAAGACTGAGGGCTAATTCAGGAGCAGAATAACTCAGAAAGTTCACGTAGAAAACTATCCTTTAGCTCCTTTTTACTTTGAAGCTTAGTTGATCTCCGCATGCAATCGTCCTACCAGATTTCTTCTCGAAGCACCCAAATACAACTGCAACATCTTACGTCAGAAGAAATTACCAATTCACTGTCCCATATCAGCTGTTTCTACTTATCCCAGCTGCTTTTTGTTTACTGCATGTGACCCATGCGTCGCACTCGCACACGTTCGTGCTGGGACCTCCATGTGTGAAACTATCGCGGTGCATGACGGAAACACCGGTTTACCCCGCATGTTCAGCGTGACATGCATGTGTATAACTATATATCCTGTTCAGGCCGCGCGGGAAAGTCGACGAGCATGGTTTACAGGCAGGAGAAAACTGTACTGGGTGGGGAATGTAAAGCAAAATGTGAACATGGCGGCTAAATAAAGGCTCACTATACGGCACCTATATATGGCATGGAACATGGACGCCAATGGGACGCTGGGATGAAGGGGATATAGGGTGGGAAGGTTCGGTTCGGTTCGGTTCGGTTCGGTTCGGTTCGGTTCGGTTCGGTTCGGTTCAGTTCGGTTCGGTTTGGTTCGGTTCGGTTCGGTTCGGTGGGCCGCCTTAAATACGACGAATGGTTCACCTTGGTCCCGTGAATCTTGTATAGTTCTTGGTAAGCAGAAATATTGTATTTACGCGAAGGGCAACGCAGAAACGGCGCTGGGGAGTCCAGGCGGCGCGGTGCGCGCGGCGCTCGGGAGCTCGCCATCGTAGTTATTGAAATTCGAAGGTAGGAGCATGATTCTACCTGTTTTGAGATTATTTACGATATGTGCCGCCTTAAACACGACGAATGGTGTGCAATGATTTTTTCTAACGTTAGGTAGGAAAGTACACCTGCGCCGGGTTTTCTCGATGAAGCACGAGCTGCATACTCATGTCTTATCATGCCGTTGTCATTCTTATCCAGTTCGTGGGAATCGCCAATGCTAGGCACAGGTGTGCTGCAATTGGGAATGCGAACTGTGCCCTCCTGGGCCGCTTTTCCCCCACCTTCTCGACTGCGGGCCTCCCGCATTTTCGTGGGGAGCGAGGTCCTGGCCTTGTTACATCGGTGTATTTGCAGCCTTGTTCGTTGAGGCTCCCCGCTATCAAAATGCCTGTCTGTGTGAACAATCTACTTTTGTATATTTCTGGTACGAATATGATTAGTGTTCATCCGTTGAACTAGAGGTGGAAGTCCTCTCCGACTCCTTCGAGCAGTGGCGCTCAGGTGGGGACCATGTCAGTGACTGGCCAGCTATAAAGCAGCATGAATGCTTCACAACTGTTGGTGCAGTGCATACACATGGGCTGGGCTCCGAAGTCGTGCTCGTGCCACACGCCCAAGTAGGGGTGCTTAAAGTGTGCTCCGCCAGCCGACAGAGCACGGCGTCGACGGCGGTCAGGGCGGCGCAAGCTAGCGCAGCAGCCAACAGCGCTCGCCGCCGGCAGGAGCCGGGACGCCACCGGCCGTCGCAGGGTTCCGCCAAGCGTCAGCAGACCGAGCGCGCCAGCCGGCGCCGGCCGCGGCCAGCTGCAGGCTCCACGAACGCGGTGGACCGGCGTACTGGCGGGCGTCTAGCGCGGTGAGGAGCGCGTAGCCAACGGCGCCAGTGAGGAGGGTGATTGCGTAATGGCGGAGACGGCGCGCCCATCTGGACGGCGAAGGACGGGCAGGGGGGAGAGCGGGGCGAGCGGCGCGTCCCCGCGGACGGCGCCCAGCAGCGGCAGGTCGGACGCCAGCGTCAGCTTGGCCACGCTGACGGCGACGGCGAGCGCGAGCAGCGCGCACTGCAGCGGCGAGGCCGGCCGCGCCTACAGCACCACGCGCCGCCAGAGCTTGTTGGAGCCGCCGGGCTGGAACTCGACCACGACGTACAGGCCCGTGACGACCAGCTCATGAGCGACAGGCACAGCGGCCATCCGCGCATTGAGCAGGTAGAACCCGTGGTGGAGCGGGTGCAGCCGGAGCAGCGGCACCAGCCGGCAGCTGTAGCTGTCATGGTAGCCCGACTCGCGGCTGCCGACATCAGCCGGGGCGGTGTTCCTCAGCCGTCAGCCGGCTCCAGCCCGCGTCGCCCGTTCCGGTAGCCGAGACGGAGGCGCGCCGTCAGCGCGACGCTGGCCACCGGCACGCCGGCCGCTCGTGGACCGTGTCGATGTGCAGCGCAAGGCCATTGAACAGAGTGCAGCGAGAGGACAGGTTTCTGCTGCCGGCGCGAGAAGCGCTGGAGGCGCCAGCCGCGGCGGAGCGGCTTTTGAAAGACGAACGACGCCCGGCTGGCGGGCACGCCCCGGCTCGCGACGTCAGCGGTGGAGTTGACACGCTGGCAGCGTGCACCTGTCAGCGATGTGCTCCACGCTCGGAGCCAGGCGTCGCCGACGTCCCTCCCGACCCACGCAGGATGGTGGCCAGAATCGCTGAGACGCCTCCAGCCGCGGCGCCACTAGCGCACTGATCAAGAAGCGGGCGATCTGGAGAGCCCGCAGGAGAGCAGAGAGGAGGATTCTCCGACGGCTCGGGCTGTTCATCATGATCCGCGGTCATCCTCGCACCAACGCACCACCACCACCACCAAGTAGCACCACGTCAGCTGATCGGCGCGCTCTCGCGTTGCGGCCGGGAGCGCCGCAGCTCCAGCAGTCCTCACTGGTGATGTATGACGCATTCGTTTATCAACAGCCCGCTCGGACGACTCAGTTCGTGGGCGACGCTCCTGACGGCATGTGCTGCGTGTCAGTGCTGGCCGGGTTACTCTCTACGACACTGCGGCATTCCTCCAGCCTTTTCACGGTCTCCAAACAAATCGGGCGACAAAGTCCAGAGTACATGCAAAAATAATTTATTACGTCGCTATTGCACAAATCAAGTCGGCAATAATCACTCAACATCCCTGAAAAATACATAACGATTCAGGCGGCAACGCGGTGGATCCCCGTGCCTGGGGAACAGCCTGGTCATCTGGGACAGCGCGGCCGTGGTGTGACCCTAACGTCCCGGTCTCGGTGACGTCAGGGTCAGTGACGTCATCTGTCGACAAATGGTCTGTCCTCGCCACGGGGGTAGTCCGTTGCAATGCGACGATGAGGAACGTATGGCCTCTGTCAAAGACTATGAGCCGACAACGCTGCATTCCTCTCCGACGTCATTGACAACATTTGATTGCCGTCATGGCATAACGTCTTTTTAATCAAGCCATTTTCAGCATGGCATTCAGTCAAATCCACGGCTACAGTACAGCTGTCTTCCCATCGTCTGACACAAAGGGCCCCGATCAACCCCTAATCACATAACATCATCAGCATTGGATAACCAGCCTCATCGCAGGGCATGCCCATCAGCAATGCGATTAAGTAAAACTACACACCTCCAACCAATTTACTGCCACACTTTGAAACAACACTGCGAAGCGGCGCCAGTCTTGCGTGTGGTCCGCGAGGAATGCAGCAGGCTGACGGCTAGAAAACAGCGACACACTCTGAAACGCATGTGTGGGCAACTGGAAAGCGCACGGCAGCTGCGTCTACCTGTACTACCCTGGTAGAACGCGCGCCAACAACGGTGACGTTGCACAAAACAGACCCTCACCGACAGGAAGCCGACCCAGCCCTCTTCAAAAGCCCGATATGACCCACCTCTGTCACTGGTCTAGGGATCACCATTCCTAAAACGCGATTACCTAAAGAGCCTTCCCAGTGAGAGCTCCAGCAACCCGGCGGACCGGAAACGGCTGATAAAGACCTAGTCCTGACCGGAGACCGCGCCGCATCCCCACGCCGACACGCCGATGCACGGCACACACCCAAATGTCCGTCTCGGCTCGGCGGCACAGCAGCTACAGACACGACTCGGCACACAGCCTCAACGTTAAGAAGCGGTTTCCTCCAGCGAACCGCCGCCTCATCGTCCGGCATCCCGCGCTGCGCGCCGCCTGTTTGACCCGACCGGCAGCAGCCAGCCCCTGGCGATGTCGAGTAACAACCGCGAGCGGCCGCACGACCCCCCACCTTCCCCCCGCCCGCCCCGCATGGGTCTGACCAGCGCGATGCCAGAGATCGGCGGGTGATGCCCTGGCCGAGGTCGGCAGCTGGATATCACGTCTGTTGCAGTGTGCCAGCAGAGCTGGTGTGCAGTGAGCCAGCGACTCTGAGGACTGGTGTGCAGTGAACCGGCGACTAGGAGGCTGGTGTGCAGTGAGCAAGCGACTCTGAGGACTGATATGCAGTGAGCCGGCGACTCTACGAACTGGTGTGCAGTGAGCCGGTGACTGGAGACTGGTGTGCAGTGAGCCAGCGTCTCCGAGGGCTGATGTGAAGTGAACCAGCGACACTGATGTGCAGTGAGCCAGCGACTCCGAGGACTGGTGTGCAGTGAGCCAGCATCTCTGAGGACGTGTGCAGTCAGCCAGCGTCTCTGAGGACTGATGTGCAGTGAGCTAGCGTCTCTGAGGACTGATGTGCTGTGAGCCAACGATACTGTAAAATGGCGCGCGGACAGCACGTCGACAAAATCCGTCCAGGGCACGCGAACAGCCAGAGGCATCGACTCCTACCTACTTCGCCGCATCCCTCTGTTTGGCAGAAGTCAACTACTGCCAGACGATGGTACAGATTCGACCGCAAGCGAATGCTGGCGACATGGGCGAGCCCCGCCGCCTGAGCGCAGACACGACCGCCTGGGAACGGCCCAGCTCTGCCACACCCGGCTGGCTCGCCGGGTTTGCCGCGGAATCAGCGATCCCACTATCACGTGGACAGTTCGGAGGCTTTGGCAAGGGCCGCGGTGCGAGACTGCGTGGGCGAGAACGTCAGCCACGCTCCGCAGAAGCGGGTGGACCGCGCGCATGCGCAAACTGAAGTCGCCATCATCGGCGGCTCCGTCGTATCCTGCCCAGCGACGCATGCTTGGGAGAGGTGCGAAGACGCGGCGGCCTCCACAGATGGCAAGACGGCCGAGGGTTTGTGTGCCCGCCAACGTAGCACGATAGACTGCGCTACGCCACGAACGAATGCTCGAATAGAATGCTTCGAATCACGGCGATGCATGCACAAGTACTAGACTAGATATGAATACGCCAATGTACGCCATGTGTTGAATGTGCCAGGTATACGAATGAGCCAATGTTGGCGAACGTAGCAGCGGACAAAGACAGAAGCGATTCCCGACATTTCTAAGATAGTTTTGTCAGTTCTTACGATTTGAGCGTCAAACGCTAGGGAGATAAAGCAACTAAATAACAGGGCAGACAAAAAGGAACAATTTGCATACGATAGATACTTACAGTCGAATAAGACACGTCAAACTAATATCATTCATGGCGCACAAGGGGCCGGAAGGCCACGCGGAACAGTGCGACATACGGGAAAGTAGGAAAAAAAAGTATGGAGAAAGAGTTGTGCATTCCTCGATAAAATGAACAAAAATCCGGACTTGCTTCGTGCCGACGGTCCGGTCAAACACAAAGCAGCACGGCAAAACGAGAAACAACGTAGGCAAGGAATGGCCGACGACAGCCAGCGCTCCCACTACAAAAGTGCTGCTTCCCACCGCCTGTTTGGCGGCCAGCACCGGCGTCCGTCGGCGCCGGCACGACGGAAGGACGGGACGCCGGCCGACTCGGAGCCGCGCCGAGTCGGCCGGCGGGAGAGAGGGAGAGAGATCTGCGCGGTCACAACCCAAACACGGGGACAGCTGGATAACCACCCCAATCAGCGTCCTGTACAGCGGGGCGTAAACGGTACCCGAACGTCCCACAAGTCCAGCGCGAGCGCGCCCGGCGTGGCGTACAGCGCTAACGCCCCGCGCGCGCCCGGCGGGCCATGGCACAGCTTTGGTAACAACAACGGGCTCTAAGCTCCCGCCTCTTGCAGCTGCAGTTGCGGCGGCGTTTTCACGACCTGGATGCCTGGCGGCCCCCTCACCGGCCCGACAGCGGCATCGTCCGCAACATCGTCCAGAGCGATGGACGATATCCACGCGACCAGGAACAAGCGATATGCCACCCACTGCCAAACCCTGTACACGTGGCGCCACACTGCGGTGATCGGCAACGGAAACCGCGAGAACCAGGCTCTGACGTAACACGCGTGCACCCATACAACGCCCGGACCCAACCACCCACCCGCCGCCTTCCTGGCATCAGTATATGCCCACCTGGCGTCCCACCTAATGTAACGCTGTCAGGCCCTCAACATGTACCCATGATGTGCGAATAACTTCTCCCCGCTCTGCACACCCACTTCATTGGCGTGACCGTCCAGTCTGACCTTGGGATCCCTGTGGGAGCGGCGCACCGTCCGAGGATCGCCCCAGGGAGACGGGCGGCCGCAGCCGAGTGGAGTCGGGGTACAAGTGGAATGGAGTCGGCGCCGCCGGGGGCGCTGCCAGACGCCAGGAGCCGGCGTCAGGTACCAGGATGTGCAGCGTGCGGGCCGGCGGGGCATCACGTGCTCGTCCGACTCGGCTCGTCCTCGTCCTCGTCCTCCGAGCCCGAAATGAGCGAGGCCGACTGCTCGTCTGTGGACGGGTCCGTCCTGGCGGCAGGGCGCTGACGTCACCGGGGCGCCGCGGGGGCGACGGCAGCAGCACGCCGGACGGGCACAGAGCAGCGCTTACACACACAGGACGGCGACGCCGGTAACTGCCAGTTCAGTGGCGAGATCGGCTCTCCATACAGCAGCGCAGAGCTCAGTTGACTTCACACGGGGCAGCGAGTGAGCCGGCCGTCACCGAGCCGCCGGCACTCGTCATCTCACGGTGTCCGGCCGTCGCTGATCAGCCGGCTCCTCAGACACGGAGCAGCGAGTGAGCCGGCCGTCACCGAGCCGCCGGCACTCGACATCTGACGGTGTCCTGCCGTCGCTGATCAGCCGGCTCCTCAGACATCTAACCAGCGGTACATCGCGGCTATCCTCGATAAAAACCATAGCACGTTGCAGCACCCGAATTCTCCCACCTCACTACGACTCTCGTGCACGGCTACATGAACAATGGGGCCTACGCTGTTAACATTAAGGGGTGTCTATAAATTACGTCACAAATTACTACAACTACATAAATACGTCCACATAATTACGTTTCTGGTCATTTTCAGCCCTTCTCCTGGTTACCCATTGGCTACGCTAGGCGAAACCCCCTCTCCTAATAACGCTGCATCAGGCGCATGCCCCTCCCAAAAGTAACGTCCGTTTGACCGCTCACCGAGCCAGGTATTCGAGAAAACGGGCGTGCTGCTTGTGACGGTAGGAAACGAACGACGCCCAGCTTTAAGGCTTTAATACGCTTTCAAAGATTTTCAGCATGATGTTGAACAAATACTGAACGTAACCTTTGGCAGCCTACAACCTCCCCTTCGCCCCTGTTACGTTTCAGCTACGCTCCATTACTCCCTCCCTCACTCCAAGCGTAACTTAGTGTATAAGTGACCCCTAACTAATGTGAACACAACTGCACGATAGACGAAACAAGGCTGACTCCCGCTTTGTTTTAAAGTAACCGCTACTGCGTACCCTATCCCTACCAAACACTTCCCAGCGTCAGTTGACGGTGAAAAACGCGCTGAGCTTTCCACTTATGTTCCTTCAATAGCTGCCCTCCACAACTGGCATCGCTCCTTTCAGCACGAAATACAGAGCGCGACTCCATCGCCACAGTTCCGTTCTCAGCTTGGATGCCACGTCACCCCTCAGCTTAGATGCCACATCACCCCACACCCCGCCCACCGCTCCCCGCCTCTGCCGCCCTGCTGCGGCCCACTGACCTGCGCTGCGTGCGGCAGCAGCCGGGGCAGCAGAGGGCCGCCAGCCGCCGCAGCCAGTCCATCACCGGGTCCCAGTTGTCGTAGTGCGCCAGCAGCGTGACGCACAGCGAGGCGGCGAAGATGGGCACGCTGCCCAGGTAGAACGACAGCCGGTACTTCACGCCGCGCAGCGCCACGTCCGCCAGCATGGTCAGCGGGATGGTGAGGGAGAGCGAGAGCGTGGCGATCAGCGACGAGGTCAGCAGACAGCCCCTGTCGAGGGATGACAGAGGTCAGCAAACAGCCCTGCCGACAGAGGGCACAGGTCAGCGGACAGTCCCTGTCAAGGGAGGGCAGAGGTCAGAAGACAGCTAGTACCGAAGGAAGGGCAGAGATCATCAGACAGCCTCTACCGTGGGAGGGCAGAGGTCAGCACAACCCTGCTGAGGGAGGGAAGACGTCAGCAGACAGCCTTTACCGAAGGAGGGCAGAGGTCAGCAGACGGCTCCTGCCGACGTGCATGGGTCGGCAGATGGAGGGCAACGGTAAGCGGGTCGAAGGCATAAGGTCAGGAGACAGAAACCGTACTTAGAAGTCCGCAAATAAGCAGAACAAATATCCCCTAGGATACTTAGGCCCACTGGTAGCATCCTCATGTCGGGATGAAGCAATCTTTAAGTCCAAGTACGAGCTAGGAGATGGTGTTCTACAACCCGATGCTACAATAAGCCACTAAGAACAGTGACACCAACGTCAAACAAACAAGTTGAAAACCGAACGAAGAGCAGCACGTTCAAATCCGTGACATTTTCCTCAGGGACGTAATCCATAGGCTTTGCTTGCGCGGCCTTGGACTTCAAAAACATTCTACGCGAAGCTTGATGCGTGCATTCCCAAGCTGTCGCCCAGATGATAACAATCCCGCTGCGGGCAATACATTGCTTCGGACATTTTGCCCACAAAACCGCGGAGGGATTATGTTCGTGCCCCGCAAGACCACAACACAGCTGCCCTTTGACCGGCCACCAAGGACGCAAAACCACCGACACCGACGCGACCACCACAACAAACGTGCAACGGTCTCACACCCCGACTTATAACGGCCTCCTGCCGGCACCGCACCCGACAAGATCTGCGCAAGGGAGAGTCCGACAAAACGTGCGCGAGGGAGAGTCCGACAAAACGTGTGCGAGGGAGAGTCCGACAAAACGTGCGCGCGGGAAATTCCGACAAACCGTGCGCGGGAGAGGCCGACAAGACATGCACGTGACAGAGGCCAAGACATGCGCACGGGTGAGGCCGGCGAGCGGGAGAAACCGACAAGACGTGCGCACAAGAGAAAATAAGACGTGCGCGAGAGCCCGACAGGACGTCCGCTGAGCAGGAGGCCGGCAAGACGTGCGCGCGGGAGAGGTGGACCAGCCCGGCAAGCAGCCTCGGCAGCTGCACTGACCACATCCAGAGCAGCTCGGAGAGCACCGTGCCGATCACACCGTTGGTGACCAGGAACAGCCACTGCTGGGCGTTGGGCAGCTGGAACGGCTCGTAGCCCACGTAGTGCGCCACCAGGAAGCCGGGCCAGAACATCAGGACCGTGAACACGCCCACGAACCCTGCCGGCGGCGGAGGCCAGGTCAGTGCAGCTGTGGAGGTCTTGCTGAAGGAAACGCGTCGCAAGCCGTCACGCCCCGTCACAGGGAAACACCCAGGACTATGCCCACGAACTCGCCGGCGACAACGGTCAGGGCTAGGTAACTGGGGAGGTTGTGTTATGGGGCAGCACAGGGAGTGCGCGCGAGCCGTCCGACAGGAGCGACGAAACCGACCAGCGTCTCAGTCCAGCACCACCAGATGGCGTGAGCAGGTCCAGAGCAGGTCAGCAAGACGGCACAGCTAATACACGCACGCTGGTGGAGCGGCCGGTGGGGACATAATCAGTCGACGAGGCACATCGATGTCGTTAGATGGAACCCCTTCTCACCACGACCAGCGCCACCAAGCCTTGTGAGCGCTCCCCTGCTGTGCAGTTACAGGGCTTCAGCACCAGCCAATCCCAGCCTCTTTCCCACGGGCGGCTTCTTTGCAGGCCACGGTTCGAGCGTCGGCGCACGGCCTCTTCACAGAACATCCGACCCCCAGCGGTGGTAAGGACGGCTCACCGAAGAACATGGGCAGGTCGAGCTTGTCCTCGTGGTCGACACGTGCGCGCAGCAGCACGATGTAGGCGGCGTACAGCAGCGCGCCGGCTAGCGCCCACAGCGCGCCGGCAGGGATCCGGAACTCACCGCTGAGCTCAGACAGACTGACCACCACCTGCGGCACAGCGGGAACAATGAGGGGGGACAGACTGACCACCACCTGCGGCACAGCGGGAACAATGAGGAGGGACAGACTGATCACCACCTGCGGCACAGCGGGAGGGATGAGGAGGGACAGACTGATCACCACCTGCGGCACAGCGGGAGGGATGAGGAGGGACAGACTGATCACCACCTGCGGCACAGCGGGAGGGATGAGGAGGGACAGGCTGATCACCACCTGCGGCACAGTGGGAGGGATGAGGAGGGACAGGCTGATCACCACCTGCGGCACAGTGGGAGGGATGAGGAGGGACAGACTGATCACCACCTACGGCACAGCAGGAGGGATGAGGAAGGACAGACTGATCACCACCTGCGGCACAGCGGGAGGGATGAGGAGGGACAGCCTGATCACCACCTGCGGCACAGTGGGGAAAATGAGGAGGGACAGACTGATCACCACCTGCGGCACAGCGGGAGGGATGAGGAGGGACAGGCTGATCACCACCTGCGGCACAGTGGGAGGGATGAGGAGGGACAGACTGATCACCACCTGCGGCACAGCGGGAACAATGAGGAGGGACAGACTGACCACCACCTGCGGCACAGCGGGAGGGATAAGGAGGGACAGACTGATCACCACCTGCGGCACAGCGGGAGGGATAAGGAGGGACAAACTGATCACCACCTGCGGCACAGCGGGAAGGATGAGGAGGGACAGACTGATCACCACCTGTGGCACAGCGGGAGGGATGAGGAGGGACAGGCTGACCACCACCTGCGGCACAGCGGGAGGGATGAGGAGAAACAAACTGACCACCACTTGCGGCACAGGAGGAATGAAGAGGGACAGACTGACCACCGCCACCACCAGTGGCACAGCGGAAGCAGTCAGCATGGGCACACGAAAACAGTCGGAACAACTAAGGAGCGGTCAGCGAACACGGCCCGGGAACGGTCAGTACGGTAACACGGGAACGGTCAAGACTGGCAATGCAGGAGCGAAACAGACGAGTCACCAGGATAATGGTCCGCCCGGAATGGACATGAACATCAGCAAGTCAAAAGTGCACACGTGAAAGTCGGAGAGGACAAGTCGCAGTGACTGACGCAAGCGAGCGATATCCGGCCAACGACATGAAATGCTCCCAAAACACCGAGCCACAACCTGCAACGATCACCGCCTTAGTCAAAACCTGAAAACGGCGTCCTCTTCCGTCACGTCGCCCGAGCTTTCCCACCTCCCGCCCCCGCTGACGGCCTCCCTGCTGACCCGCCCGGCCCGCCCGGCCCGCCCGGCCCGCCCGGCCCGCCCGTTCCGCTCGCTCGGCCCGCTGACGCCAGGAGCTCCCCAGTGCGCCATCTACATCCCACGGCTAGTCCGCGCTCACTCCTCGCCGCCTCCGTCGCCAGCAGCCGTACCACGCCCGCGATGTTGACGGCCGTGGCGAGCAGTTTGGAGACGGTGAACTTGTCGCCGGGCGTGGAGGGGAAGGTGGCGGCCAGCAGCAGCGTGAACAAGCCCGACGACGAGCTCAGGATGTTGACGTAGGCCGCCTCTGAGTAGCTGAGCGCCAGCTGGTAGCTGTACTGGCCCAGCACAAACTGCAGGAACAGTGACAATGTGAGGACGTCGGCCATGAATGTGTTAATGTAGCATATGGTGTGTAGTGTAGCGTCCGACTTGCAGAAATCTCGGGGATCACAGGCTCTCTGGCCATTCCAGCGATGGAACAGATAGCGTGTGATAACATGGCATGGAGAGGGAGAGTGAGCAGGTAATACACGAATGCAAAAAAAAAAAACACACTGTAATACACAGGCAAAATGGTCACCCCAAATAACAAAATTACAGGCCTGAGATCACCCATTTACTGAATGCTTCCACTATTTCGATCATTTGCGCTTCAGAGCTCGTCCGATGAAGGAGATCCGCTTGACCCACAACACGACAAACAAACTGAATCTACGCCACCTGCCTAGTCGCACTCACAAGCTACATCACCACACCGCCTGACACCCCCGCCGGCCAATCACAATCGCTAACGCCCAGCACACCTCCCGCCATCTAACATCACTCACCGGAAGCGTAAACTGCAGCGCCAACAGCGCCACCTGAGCGGGCGGCAGGCGGGCGGCGCGCATCAGCGCCTGGCGGCGTAGCTGCAGGCTGGCGCGGTACGAGAGGCGCGCGAACAGCGCCTGGCCGGCGTCGCGCTCCGACAGCTGGCGCACCTCCATGAGGCGACTGAAGCGGACGGCGCGCCGGCCGGCCCGCTCGCCGCCCGCCTGGTCCTCGCTGTCCGTGCCCGACGACTTGTCCTCGTCGAACAGCACCGGCACGAACTCGGGCTCGCTCTGGCGGCGGCCAGGGCCGGTGTGAGACGCGTCCGGCGGCGGCAGAGGTCGCGCTAGGAGGGGCCGATGGGTGAGCACCGGCACGAACTCGGGCTCGCTCTGGCGGCGGTCCGGGCCGGGGTAAGGCGCGTCCGGCGGCGGCAGAGGTCGCGCTAGGAGGGGCCGATGGCTGAGCACGCATCGCGGGGGGGGAGTGTCACGAACGGATCAGGCTTCAAGATGGTGTACACGTCGCACTAAACACAACCGAACGAACCACAGCTTACTTTCATGCACACAGAAGCGTTACGAGCTCAACCACCTCAACATACACGCAGCGACGCAACAGACGACCTTCAGCGGCCGGCCTCTCTACCGAGCGCACTCCGCGACCGACCAGGCGACAGGTCCGCGCACGTCCCACAGCGTGCGCTGCCGCCGACCGGCCGCGGCCCGCCCAGAGGCGGACCGGGCAGCGCTCGAGGCTCGCGACTGACCAGTCCGCGGCGTCCGCCCAGCGCCGGACTTCCGGGCGCGGGGCTGCCGGCCGAGCTGGCGCCGTCCTCCGACAGCGACTCCATCGGCTGCGGGGGCGGCGGCGGCAGGTCAGCGGCTAGACAGCCGGCGCAGGGCCGCAGCGGCGGCGGCGGGTCAGCGGCCAGACAGCCGGCGCAGGGCCGCAGCGGCGGCGGCGGGTCAGCGGCCATACAGCCGGCGCAGGGCCGCAGCGGCGGCGGCAGGTCAGCGGCCAGACAGCCGGCGCAGGGCCGCAGCGGCGGCGGCGGGTCGGCGGCCATACAGCCGGCGCAGGGCCGCGACGGCGGCGGCGGCGGCGGCACAGCACGGCACGGGGCAGCCCCCGCAACGGCCGGCCGGCACCAGGAACGCAGACAGCATTTAAGGTGAAGGTTAAGGGAAGTTAGTCAGCCCTCATCATGACAGAACCGAAAAAACCGCCGATGGTGCTTAAGTAAAAACAAAACATGGGCTTAAGGGAGGAGCGCCTCCCCTATACGCGCATCTGGTCCGGGCAGTAGAGGCGGCGACAGGAGAGAGGAGACAAAGGTGCCTCCAGTGAGGAAGAGGGATGGTGAATATAAAAAATAACGGGCCTCTGAATATCCTGGCAGAGAAGTCGTCTCGTTTCACCGAATAGCTTTCAGGTGGCAAAGTCGTTACATTCCAGATCAATTTTGCATCCCACACATGATCGCCAGACGCACGGGTCAGAATGCGACTGTCCACCGGCACACATACTGGCTCAAGAAAATGAGCACATGTGTTCGCTATTCTCCACAGCGAATGCAATGCACATTGGAAAGCAGCCATGCACGTCGTTATATCGAAGCACTCCCTGTCTCCTGAGCAGCGTGATCTGCCGATGCCATTAGTTAGCAGCGTACCGGCCATGCTGCCTAAACGGCACGATTGGTTAACTACGCAGTTAGCACGGATTAGAACGTGTTTCAAAACTGTTATCAACTTATATCAGTGTCGTACGAATAGGATTGAGGAACGCTGCAATTGTTCAGGCGATACCTTTTGGTTACCTTCGCAATCCGTGAACTTTCGATCGGCATTGATAAAATGAATAAGAGCCCACTTTTGCCAGTCAATTAAAGGCAGTAGGACATCAAATCGAAACGAGTTACGTTGAAGTTCACACAATGACACCAGCTATGATTACCAGGCCAAGGTTCTCAGCATCAAGTATGTGCACCAATGCTCATAAGTACCGGTTTATGCTGGCAGAGGTGCAGTTCAAGAAAGGCTTGTATGGTATGATCAGCTGTTTTCCATGTGAACGGTTTGCATCGGTAAATGTTTACCCAGCAGAAGGTGAATCAAGTTATAACATTGTTCACATGAACGATGTTGTGACAAGAAGCTACAACCTTTTAGGTGACGAGCTTGATCTCGAACACCATTGCCTATAAAGTTACTAAACATTGTTTTTCATTACGAACCAAAACTTTACACATGTATCCAAAATGTCGCTCATAAAACTTTTCCGTTGCGCACCTACGGTTGCCAAGTCTGGCCCGGTTAACAAAGCCTATGTCAATCAGCACAGCAGATTGCCGTGAAACTACTCCCCACCATCTCCGACCAGCACCCAAACACGTCTAGTCCACCGCCGCACGCCACGGCGCCAAAGCCCAGCGTCTGCAAGCGAGCCGGGCTGGGCGGCAGACCCAGCACCACACGCATGCGGAGAGAGAAGACAGACGGACCGGGTCACTCACGACTAGGAACTCGTGTCGCTGGCTGCAGCCGGCGCGCCACGGCGGCCACACCAGGAACCCCAGCAGGAAGACGGAGAACAGCGCGTTCTTCAGGTAGGTGGAGAAGAATGGCTTGCTGAAGCCGTCCTCCTTGAAGAGGTACTGGGGGAGAAGGGTTGGGGTTGTGACTCGTGACAACTAGCGTGCGGTGCAAGCTAGGAGGGTGGAGAATGCAAAGGTATGCTAAATTTCTTATGTTAACACATATGCATATGTGTATCATGAAAGATATGGAATGATTATGCATAAAACGAGTATGACAGGATAATATGCAGCTCTCATCGAATTTAAGGCAGGCTTTCACACCATTACATGTCATAAACTGAGTACACACAAAAACACCGATTTACGCATCTATTTTTCTGGTCATATGAACATCAGCATTTGCCCAATCCCCGGACTTTACATCTTGGCAAATGAATGACCGATTTTCCTCCACTTTATCCAATGTTGTTTATTTACATACTCAGAACATAAGTGAAGTGGCAGGAGTCGGGGCGCAAATGTTTGGTACATCACACGCACCAGAACAATCATTTCTTCCAAGGAACAAAGTCAGTACCTCTGTAAGCTCCGATGAAGTCACCCACAAGATGTCCACAAGTCCAAGAACCATAACGCCAAGCAGCAGCCTTTGCCCGGGAGTCCATTCCATCATGCCTTGTTCAATCAGCTCTACTAATATTTGCGGGCTGTAACAAGGTCACAACACGGTCAGCACTACACCGTAGCAATAAACAATTAAACGGGGACGTTGGATGCAACATCGCATCCTAAATGACTCGCCAGCGGCCATGTCCTCCCTCTCTCCCTTTTCTTTTGTGAGGGCTCTGTAACGGACAGTTAAGCAGATACGTGAATAATTACCGCACATTTCCCTGCAAGGGGGGGGGGGGGGCTTAGCTAACAAGCAGCTGCACCACAACATCGCATGGTTCAAATTCCGGGCCGTGATGATGTCATCGCACGGCACAGACCACCTGGAGAGCGAGTGTCAGTGTCTATGTAACAAACTATGCTTGCCAAAGACTTTGACCCAATGCTGCTGAAAATAACAAGTCCTGAGATTGCATTTAAGCAACGCTTTCCTTATCCATGGCATCTTTTCTACAAAAGGACACCGAAAGAAAGAATACGGTTTCAGCTAACGATACAGAATGCTCAAAGCTTCCCAAAACCCTATCCACACGTCATGCACATCAGACCGAAGGCCTACGCCCAGTAGGCAGTGCACTGCCACCATTGCTAGAATCAAGTGTCCCCTCATGCATCAGGCACACTATGCAGCATGCCATATTTTGCTTTTGTATATCCTAGCACCAATAACAATGATGACATGTGTTGTGCCTTCTTTATCTCAACATCATCTCTCACTTCCCTTAGGCACAAGTGGAATATCCCTGTTAGAAATTCATCCAGAAACGAAGCAAGCCCTTTTTAGATGTTTCTGTGAAATGCCAGGACTAACACCATCCCATAGCACCACCTGATATGCCTACATCACTGATGCCTACATCACTTGGGCCTCCTCTCAGCCACACCAGAAGCCAGCTTCTGGTTATGAAAGTCTTCTGATTGGTCGTCGTGAGGGGACCGCCTGGCTCACTGCACTGCGATCGTATCCGTCAAGACAAGGCCCATACCACAGACTTCAACCATCCAAGATTTGCCCAGTACATGGTGGGAGTCTTCCATCAGTCTTGACAACCACCTCCCATCACATCTTGGCTCTCCATCAAATGAGATTCATATGCAACTGGGGCCTCTCCTTTGCTCATGGCACGCCCCTGAGTCAGAATGGTAGTGTTCCATTACAGAGTGGATTGATACCATCCAGCCCACCCATATGGCCACACATCTTCTCCTACTGGGCTCGGGTCAGCTGCCTTGCCTACACGCCTGCGGGCCGTTTCATCACTCCTGGCCATCACACCTTCCGCCAGATCCTGGCTCTCAGACACTTCAGGTCTTCCTGACAAGGCTTCCCCTGATCCACGACACCGACGGCTCATGCACCGCAATCGCCACCGACCGTGCCTAATCCTTTTATAACTGGGACTTCCATTTCATCATCACAGATTACGTTGTCATTCACGGTCGGGTCCCCTGGTCGCACGATACTGCTGACGTCACCAACCACACCGATCAATGCCTTCGACGGTCACCTTAAATATAAGGGTGGGGTTCATGAAACGTTCACCGGCCGCACATGGCAGACAGTGCCATATTGAGAACAATCTGTGTAATCTCATCACCAGTGAGCCTGAAATTGGGGCCAAACCTCCCCATGGAACATGCCTGATGAGCGCCACCCACGTGATCAGTCAGCCTGAGGCAAACAGCTGCCAAAGACAGCCCACCTCCCATCTCCGGTTTCTCGGCGGATTTATGCCCCCTTAGTGCGAACCGGGCCGCAGCGCAAGCAGGTCGTAATGTTGACTACCCAAACATTTTGCAGTTAAAGCGACCCAGCCCAGTCAGTACAGCCTATGACAGGGTCCTATCTTCCTACCTATTGATCATACTGCAATGAAGTTTTCAGTGACAAGCAGCACCATTGATTTATCTAATCAGGCAGTGGATTTCTGTAACAGTGCAATATCACCACATTTTACCTCACCATTCAATCCAATTGCAGACATTAAGTTACCAAATCACAACTACATTTGGGGACAAATGTGAGAAACAAGTCCAGATCCCGACAACTAGGCACATCAGTAACAGACTAAGAATAACAGAGGAGAAAAAGGACAAGCAGACTAGCAAGGGTTGGATGATATAAAAAACATAATGTGTTATTATGCATAAACCACAGATCTGGTCACTTCTTAGATTCTTTGGACATATCCAATCTTGTCATCAGGCAAACATGTACTACTGGTTGTATGTATACAGCAAGCATGACATTGAAATCATATGATGATTTCAACAGCATGACCTACAGGCCTGCCAGCAAAAATTCAGTGCACAGCCAATGTCAACTTTTCTGCCATTGAGTCAAGCACAACATGCTGTGGGCCAAGTGGGAGAGGGAGAGAGAGCATATGATGAAAACTACAAGTGCACATAGTCCAGTTGACTTTGACCAATATCCTTTCAAAAATCGCTGTGTTCCCTACACACCTTTGTCATGGCCACCAGCACCCTAAGTATTCCAATCACCAGCACCATAAGTATTCCAATCACCCACTTATTAATTGCGGTCTCCATGCCTTGGCAGGTCAGAGGCCAGCAACATGCCAGGCAAAAAATTAGAGGTTGTGTGTGACACTACTAATCAGTGTGCCTTTGCCTGCTATGGTGATGCAAATGACATATTCTGATGACTAAAACATACCTGCACACCCCAGTCCCCCAAGGTAACAAGACCCTATGTGCTGATGTTCAGCTCACATCTACAAGGCAATAATGATCATGCACAATTTTACATCATTCCCCAATGACACCTACATTATTTTGGTATGTCAGCAGCTGGTAATGTACCAATAGTGATGGTACTGGAAAGGTGCACAACCTGAGATCGTCTGGTCATCACCGACACCAGAGATGTTGGCTCATGTGAAAGGTATTGAAACACAGTACATCCACAAATAACATTAAAAATTTCTTATAACCCCACTTAAGGTAGGATGTTAGGTCAATGACAGTTCAAAACACACCATTATACACAGCCTCCATAGACCATCTCAGCTGGCAGTTTGTATATCTTTTAATGCACTTGCCTAATGATCAAGGCTCAGCATGCACCACAAGTCACAGGCTACCTGAGTGACCCAAGATATGGTATAGTACCAATAATGACTGATGCAACTAAGAGCATAGTGCATCTGTAGCCTGCTTATATGGCTTTGGGCTGATTTATCTAAAACTGACCTGTGTCACATTGTCAATGCCACAGGCATGGCAACGTGAATACCAGAAACTCAGATATCAGACATCATATATCAGATATCAGATACCAACTCTCAGATAGCTGGTTTATAGCTGATATAGCTGATATTGTCTCAGATATTTGGTTTATAGCTGATCCTTCCCATGTATCACCATGAGGCTAATGTCTAAACAAGCAGAGGGTGATGGCAATATTGCTAAGCCTATGGGCCAGTAGCTGGTCAATAAGCTGAGATGTGCTTATCTTCCCATATATCCGATGTCCCATATTCCCTTATCTTCCAATATCTTCTAGGTGCCAAAACTTCCCATAATTTGAGACTGTCTGGCTACTGGACTGGGAGCCTGATGAGACCAGGACATACAGGCATAGTAGCCTTCTACAATTACTGACCACCATAAGGTAAGGTAAGGTAAGGTGCATGCTCTGCATAGACATCTGCATGCTCTCAACAATTCATGCCTCTTAATAACTGTAATTTTTCCTCACTGAATACCTCAAGCCTGGTGTAAACTAGCCAGATCAGTACTCAGCCACTTTGTGCAGAAGCACCCTACAATGGAGACTGAATATGGCTGGTGGTCAGACAGCCAGGCTGAAGAATCGTTTGGTGAGCAGCTGGGTTACGGTTAGCCGAAATGGCGAAAGCGTAAAGCCTGTTTCTCCTTATGGTAGATATTAAATAAGTTGCAAATATCCTCTAACCGACCCTGCTTGATTAGTCGACCTTGTTTACAGTGAACTGCTTTCCAGCGCTTGATCGCTGTCACAATTCACTCATGAGCAGTTTTTTCAAACCGCATCAAAATGTTTATGACACCTGGTTTTACAAAAATTATTGCAAGCATCTTTACCGGTATGGTCACTGATGGCCGAAACCCCCGCACCGCATCCTGCCGCAAAACCATATCACGGGGATAATATCACAGCAACGAAGCAATATATGGCTGCGTTATAAATGTAACAGAAGCACCATCTTTCTCCCTGCAAAGGGCAAATATCACGTGACTTAAGATCCATTTGAGCGCAAGGCCACCACCGTTATTGACAAAATAGCCCCAACGAAATAAATTTTGGTTTATGAAAATATGTAAACTTTTATTAAATATTAGGATTTGTTGGATAAATATATTAAGTAATTTTATACTACCTTCATCACAATATGCAGTTTGTTAACATGTGATGGACGAATACTTGAAAGTCAGCTGAATGCTTGTCGCTGCCTGGGATTGACATGTCTATTGCGTTTGCTGAGATTGATGCGATGGGAGCAGGTCGCGTGTGATAGGTGGGTCCATATGTAGTTATTTGATGCTTCCCACGCTTCATTTTTGATATGGTACTTCCAGTTTTGCGTAATGCACATATTTTTAATGTTATCACCCTTTCTTACTGGTTACTCAGGTGTAACAGTAGTGTGTACAATTTTACAAATTCATACCGTGTGCAGCGAAGACTCATTTTGCAGTATACCTCGCGCCCGGTTAGGTAATGCTTTGAGGGCAAGATTGCGATTTTTGGGCTAAGATGTATGAGAAGAAAATGTTGGTTGTTGGACAGTTTGGCTTAGGAATGATATGTGTATTTGTTGTGTGCCAGGACAAATTTTGGAAGGCCTTTTGGTTGGCTTCAAGCTGCTTAGAGGCCTGGTGAAAATTTGTGTGCATCTTTTTTCTCCTAAGTGTTAGCAAAGTGTTGCACATATTTGGCTTTCATTCAGTGTAGTGCATCAGTGCCTACTTGGTCTGCCAGCTCACAGTGTGGCTGCCAGCCTGTTAATTTTTCTCATCCTGCTGCTGCTCTGAATTCACAGTTAGCCTTTCATAAGATCTTGTGTATAGTTGCACCTCATAACTTCTTTGTTGTCTCATCTTAAGCTCTACATGCCAATGATTAATAAGTTATTTGCTATGGTCCTGAATGAAATGCTTATTTTATAAGTTATGGCATACCTTGGCTTGATGTTTTAACCAGTGATGCCCATTAGGTAGGTTATTTGGGCTAGTATCCTCTGTTTGGGTCTTACATTTTTTGTATCAAGTTCCTCGCAATATGGGCATGCTCAATGGTATAGTTTTGGATTTCACCATGAAGTGTAATGCTTTCCAGTATTATATTATTTTATCAAGTTTTATTAGTCCTATTATTTAGTCCTATACCATCCAAAAGATATGGTGTTATTGAGCAGTTCATAAATTTTCATCCAAGACAAAATAAAGAATATTTCACAAATTCTGGAGAAAAGCAATGAAGTAAGCACCTGGGAATTACACAACATTGTTAATGTGAATCATTAAGGCAGCTGCAGTCGCAACTGCTCAGTGGCTTGCTGCAATGCATTTTTGGCTGATAGATAGTCATGCCATTTGTATTGCTCTATTAAAAAATAATCAGGATGAAATGCTTTGACTTGGGTGTTGGTATTTAGGCTTCTAACTACTGGACTGAATGTATCAACTTCTCTATTGTGCCATGTCAAGTCCAGATTAGCAAACCCTGGTTTCCAATGCTGATCATCATCTACTTTGCAACCAGGCAAGATATGCACCTGAGGGTTTGCCTGTTGTAACTTCATATCACCAAAGGATATGTTGAAATATTCTCCCAGGTGGAGTGGGGGTGGGTGTAGAGGGGGGGGGGACAGGCTCCTTAGGGTCCTTACCCTTTGTATTTTTGTCACTGAAGTGTCCCTACAGGCAGGAAAAAATGGTGTCATGCTTTTTTACTGAGCTCCACCCACTTCCTTAAGATGTGTGATGGTGTGTCATTGATGTTTAGGATAAGCATTATTCCTAAAGTCATCCTGTAGGGTATCCAGGATGCAGATATTAATTGCTACCAGAACTTGGTCACTCTGGCAGCCTCTGCATGCAGTTAGTTTGTGGCAATCTGATGCCTTTTGACCTTAAACTCAGATATCTGGCCTGCCTGGCCCATTTGTCAAGCTTGAGGGCACTTGGATGCTGAGCTGACCGCAGCCTTGTTTGATGCTGGCTGACAGATCTTGAGCAAGGGGAGGGGGAAACAAGCAGTGAACTCCAAGCTTGGGAGTGTAAAAGCGTGGAAACACATTGCCATCCATGCTGCTCAAGCAGTCAAATATTGAAATGCTGAAGATAGGTTATTTATAGATAAGGCAGCAGCTTTAGCAGCTTTTGCCAAACATTGTAGGCTCTCACCATCAAGGGATATGCACCATTACGGCTTTTTTGCCAGACTGTTTAGCTCTCATCATCAGGGTCTCAACAATAGCCTCCCTCTCATATTCATCACACTGTCAATGGTGCCTGAATGCAGATGTGAAAACCATTGCTGTGGTGAGGAAGTGTGTGTTCCATAACCTATGAATGATCTTGTAGACAGTGGAAGTTAGTACTGCTTATCTTTGTTACTGCCATCCAGGTTATAGTTATGTTAACAGCTAGTTGATCCTGTTGATAATGCACTTGAATGGCCAGACCAAACCTGAGGTATGAATAGGCCCAATGGTTGATGTTCCTCATCCTGTGATTGCCACCACCCCATGTCATGTGACTAGTCACAACTGATAGAGGATGGGGAGTGAAGCCTGTGCATCTGCAGGTAAACTCAACATTAGTCCTGTGCCACTTCAGGAAAAGAAGCAAACTAACATGTGTGGTTGCCCTCCCCAAATTTCCCAATAATTGCTCATGCTGTACATGACATGGCTTTCCTGTTGCCACCTGACTTACTGCTTGCAGACTATTGCTTGGCCTGTCATAATCCACAGAGCAGGGCCATGAACCCAGTCTGTCAGCCTGCCTCTCTTGCCATGCTTGTGTTGCCATCCTGAACTCACAGCTGTTCTGCCCTCGCTTCTAGGCCCCCCACCCATGAAGCAGATGCAGCTCGTCTCAGCCTGAGGTGGACCAGGACCACGTAACCGTCGCACCATGGCCGCCTCCAGTTTCCGGGTCAGCTGGAACCGGTTTCCATCGCACATGCTCTCAGCCCTGGACAACCTTCGGCTGGACGAAGATTTCGTGGACGTCTCCATCTACTGCGGCCGCAGGCTCATTAAGGCGCACCGCAACGTCCTGTCAGCCAGCAGCGCCTACTTTAAGGAGATATTCAAGGTCAGTGGGTGGTGCACCTTGAATCTGTGCTGTCGTGCCGGTAGTGTAGTGTTTAACGCGTCCTGCGTTAACCGCTGGGCGACTGGGAAACCAGGGGTGCAGGGTTTCAATTCCCCGCGGTGCCCGTCCTTCCTGCCAGGATGAGAGGCAGGCGATGTCATACAGCTTCAGCAGCTGAGTGCGTCGTGAAGCCCCAGTAACACTCACAGACGCTTGAATCTGTGCTGCTCAGGTTGAAAAGTTACCAGTGCGTTCGAAATGATCCGACTTCAGTTATTGCCTCCTAGTGACAAAAACGCCTGTTCGGTGCAGTATCTTACGTATAGTGACGTCTTTCGCATGTGCGCCGCCACAAGGTGCATTTCGCTGACGTGCCATGCTGGAAGGAGACAAATCCAGCTCACACTCCGCCACTGCACCAGCATTTCACACTCGTTACCACAATTGGGAAGCCCGGCCCCCATTTGGTCATAACCAGCCCGCGTGCCTCCGTCTCCAGTCGAACCCCAGCTCGCACCCGGTGGTGATCTTGTGCGAGGTGGACTACATGAGCATGCGCACGCTGGTCGACTTCATGTACCACGGCGAGATCGAGGTGCCGCCGGCCATGCTGGACGAGCTGCTGCGACTGGGCGAGATGCTCCAGGTGCAGGGCATCAGCTCCTACAAGGTGAGTGGCAGGCGCGTGAGTGTCGTCGCGTGCTGGCGGTCCGGCCGCGGTGGTGACGTTCGCGGACTGTCGAGACGCTGGTATCCGCGGTGAGGCATTGAAGTGAGGTAAATGTATGCTCGTGTATATTCTTTACCATCATTTAATGTCTGCCAGTGTGCATTGTCATGCACTGTCACGTGGTTGTGGCGTAATGGAAGGTGAATCGTAACTTTTACCTTCGTTGAAGACTGGCTGCCAAATTAAGGGCGAAATTGGTCGGAGGTTGCTGCCTCATTTATGAAAAATAACCGACAACTATGTTGGTGTATGGAGGGAATCGAGGCAAAGGTCGTGTTTGCCTCCAATCCCTCAGGCTCATATTGTCGGACGGTAAATATTCCCGGAATGTAACCGACCAATCGCCTCTTGAATGGACTTAACCGAAATTGCATTGTGTTTTAACCTGGTTAGTGGCACATAAACGCTGATAAGGTCAGCACCAGCAAGGACGGCATTGGAGGCAAGTTACATCAACAGTACACGTCGCTTAATTCATTGAATATAAAAAACCAACGGTGAGCTAGTGATCCAAATTATCAACCCTATTCCCACACTTCTTTTTTTGGACAACATTACTCAAAACTGGATTATTTTGGTGTTTCTTATTGTCTGGTTTTCAAAATCCTGCCGTTGAATGCTCAGGAAAAATGGTGTGGCCCATAACAAGCAAATTTCAAGCCAATGCATGTGTGGAACAAGGCGTTCTGTATGTACCCATACAGAATAAATCTAGGACAATAAGATAGTGACGTACATGTACACCACTTCTCATTGCGTAGATCTATACACTGTTTTCTGATAGCTTCCATGTGTGCAGTTTTGCACCAACGATAGATCTCTTTTCAAAGAAATCCCACTAGCTGCCTTCAGTTATGCCACCAGTTATTTACAAGACTGCAGGCAATTTCGTGAACATGGCCCCCGTCCTCTAAGAGCTGGCAACAGCTGCATTGAAGCCAATTTAAAAGAAGATATAAAGCAGAAGGCAAATAAAAGTCACCGAGCTTTAATTTGTATCTCACATTGTTCAAATTACAGACAGGAAGCTCCTTTTGCGGCCATTTGCAGCACTTGATTTGACTCATCGCGCAGAGAGACATGTCTTGGTTATGTAGCTGCTGTGGGCTCGGCCTCCAGACGCTGCAGTGCGAGTTTCAAAACGTTTCCTTTCCGTACACCATCATCTGTGCTCCATTCTCAGGGCGTCACGTCGGACGAGCTGTTGGGCGGCGCGGCACCGCCGGACGCCGAGCCGCCTGACACCGAGCCTCCGGACGCCGAGCCGCCGCTGGCGCCCGAGTGCGTGATTGCGGAGCCGGCCGGCCGCGGCGCCACCGTCGCCCTGCGCAAGCGCCGCCGACGCTCGCGACCCCGCGACGGCGGCGGCGCGCGCGTGTCGCCGCCCGCCGCGCACGCGCTCACACCAGCCAGGCTGCCGCCGCCGCCGGCACGGGCCGCCTCCGGGGCACGTGTCGCCGTGCGCGGCGCTGGCACCGGCGGACGGCGGGCGCGGCCCGCCGCCGCCCGCTTCTCACGCGCCGGCGGCCTGCCCACCGGCCGCGGCGGCGCCAGGCGACCCCAGCGACCTGGCCGCCGCCGCCGCGCCACCGCTGCCGGCCGCGGCGAGCGGCGCCAGGAGCCGGCCAGCCGCCGTCGTGAAGACGGAACGGCTGGAGGAGACGGAGCCGGAGACGGCCCCGGCCGAGCCGACCGACGCCAAGCTGCTGCTGTTGGACGAGAGCGGTGAGCGACCGGCCGGGCTCGGCGCTGACCTGCCTTTCCTACCCCGTGTCTGCCTTGTTCTTTTAACCTCTACATACAATGCTCAGTTGTTCGACCGTCTACTCCGTGATTCCTCGGTTTCGTAGATGAGGCAGCATGCACTGGACGGGCTCAGGCCATTTATTCTGTCAAAAGGTACCGCAGGTGACAGTTTGATAAGGCGCTTTGTGAGGCCAGTCCAGTGGACTTTTTCACCTTTGTGCACCTTGCCTGCAGCGAACCATTTACAGTGGTGGAACTGAAGGCTACTGTTAGCAGGCTTTGGAGCGTATCAGAGGGTCCTGACGAGATGCATAACGGCATGATTCGACATCTTCCCACCTGCATCTGCATCTGCGTACTGGACGTTCTTTTGGCCATTTTAATCGTCTTTGGGAACTAGGCGAATTTCCGAACCTTTGGCGAAAAGCTGTTGTACCCTCTTTTAAAGCTAGGTAAGAGCGGCAAAGATCCGCTTCACTACAGGCCCATCTCTCTTACACCTTCACTGTGCAAGCTGTTAGAGAGACTTGTCAATGGCCGTCTTTCATGTTTTTTTTCAGAGAAACATGCCATTTTGACTGATTCCCAGTGTGGTTTTAGGAAACCCCGTAGCACGCTGGACCATCTTCTTACCTTGGACACTGTTGTCCGTGCTGCTTTTAAACAGCGTCGCCATATGGGAGCTGTCTTCTTTGACATAGAGGGCGGTTACGATGCCATATGGCGACATGGTATACTTATAAAGGCTTTTTTTAGCACGGTACTTGTGGTGACATGGGCTATTTTTTACAGAACTTCTTAGCGGAACGTTTTTTTCTGCGTCCGTGTTGGTTATCGGTCTTCTGATTGTTTCTTACAACGGAGCGGTGTGGCCCAGGGTGGCGTTTTAAGTGTCGCGCTTTTCGCGCTCATGATCAATGACGTCGGAAATGCATTGCCTCAGTCTATTGGTCGCTCATTGTTCGTCGACGGTCTTGCAATCTGGTGCAGCTCTTCTCTGACCTCAGCGATGGAACGTCAGTTGCAACTAGCTGTAGCACGTCTGGAGAGGTAGGCTACGCTGAATGTTTTTCGTTTCTCCACGTTGAAAACGGCGGGTGTGCTTTTTTCTCGCCGTCGTGGTCACTGCCAGGATGTAGCGATCCGACTGTATGGCGAAGCTATCCCATTTGAGCCCGTGGTCCGTTGCCTAGGCGTGCAATTGGATCGCCGCCTTACTTACAAAGACCTTGTAAAGGCGTTGCGAGCCAAGTGTTTTAAAACCCTGAATGTCCTGAAGTGCATTGCACGCACGTTATATGGTGCGGACAGGAAAACGCTCTTGCTCTTCTATCGCTCTCTTATCAGATCCAAGCTCGACTATGCTTCCTTTGTTTATGACGGCGTTCGGGAATCAGTAAAGCGCCCATTGGACACGATACATCATACTGCCTTATGTATCGCAACAGGCGCATTCAGCACCTCTCCGACAGCGAGCCTCCTTGTTGACGCCCACGAGCCCCCTTTGTCCACTAGGAGAAAGATATTAGGCATGAGATAAGTCTGTAAGTTGACACAGTTCCCCGTTCACCCACCATACAAATGGGTCTTCTCTCGCCGCACAATACGCATGTTTCTGACTGGGACAGTACATCGGATCGCACCTTTCTGTGTCAGGATGTTCATACTTTTACAAGAATGTGGTATTCGCACACGGCATGTGATCCTTTGGGAAATTCCTGAGACCCCTCCTTGGAAGCTCTACCCATCAGCGGTGGATGTCTCACTTTCCCATTTCGCGAAGGGGCGGATGTCTCCGGATGAGTTTCGGCTGAGGTCTTTGGGGCTGATCGCGTCGCATCCGGATCACAAGAAGACCTACACGGACGGTTCGAAAGCGGATGCCAGTGTTGGATGTGTTTTTGTACATGGTCCTGTCACACGGTCTTTTGCTTTGCCTGGTCACGCATCGGTCTTTACATCCGAGCTAATAGCCATTTTCAAAACACTCCATTTCATAGAAGTTGACAGTTACGATCAACACCTAGTTTTATCGGACTCTGTTAGTAGCCTTATGACACTGCAGGATTTGGATTTATCACATCCCATCGTTCAGAACATTTTAACTCCTCTTACTACACTGCCCCAATCCGGGAAGCAGGTGGTGTTCTGCTGGATACCGAGCCGCGCTGGCATATCGGGCAATGAAGTAGCTGATGCCGCAGCAAGGCGTGCCACATATGCAACTAGCATCCCTACTGTGACAGTCCCAGTTAACGACCTATGTACAGTAGTATCTACATTCATGTTCGAAGCAGTGACAAGCGAACTGGGATGCGCGTGCTGCTAATAAACTAAAAGAGATAAAGCCGCGGTTGGTACCATGGGCGTCCAGTTGTAAGGTGAGGCGGGCTGAAGTGACGTTATGCCGCCCAAGAATAGGACACACATACGCAACTCACCGATGCCTGTTATGTGGGGAAGACCAACCGCGATGTCCTCGCTGCGGAGATCTTTATACCGTATAACATGTCCTAACAGATTGTGCCCACCTCGCATCGGAACGCATGCGCCATCTTGGATCGGGGTCCGTGCGCCAAACGCTCTACGCTATGTTGGGAGACGACTCGAGTTTAGTAAATGACGGCCACATTTTTAGTTATCTTGAGGACAAACAATTCCTTGCAAGATATCGGACGTAGCCTTACCTCCTCGCTTTTTCACGCATCTGTTAAATAAAAAGTGGGTTATGGGCGCCATATGACGAACGTCGTCGGTGCGCCCCAAAGCCCAAATCATCATCCTTATCATCACCTTCACACTCCTCACGCCACTGCCACCTTTACATTCCTTCACACTCCATGTTCACAACCTTGCACACTCCACCTTCACACTCCTTCATACGGCGACCATCATCAACTGGCATCTACGGTAGCCGGCCAGTCAATTGCCGATGATGTTTTCATCCGTGGTCGCGTGACACCTTCCGGTCACGTGACACGGTCCACTATTTGAGCTGAGTCGTGAGCTGATCACTTTAGCTCAGTGACCACAGGGATTTAAGTCTCAATGCAATTTTGTCTTGAACATCTCTTTGTGGACCGTCAACTGGCCATTTTAGCCCTCGAAAGTTGCGATCCTGTGCAAAAGCTAGACGGAATAATGCCGTCCAATAGCGAGGCTTGGAATATATCAGTATTCATTTTTACCAGCATTTTAAATGTTGTGGATTGTGTAAACTCTGAAATATTAACTTGTGCGTCTTTTGTTTCAGAGCAACCTGGCCTTGACGTGTCCCAATACTCTGGTGGCATCTTTAGCGGGGGCATAGGTACGTGTGTTTTCGCATTGCGTACTCCTTTTGATGTTTCAGGTACAGCTTGTACTTGTAGTTCTGTTTCTATCAACTCCTGTACTGTTTCCTATTATGATCATGCTAAGATTTGAAGCCCACATTCCATTCTGATCCGTGTTGTGATGATCTACAGAAACCTCTCTCGTTGTACAGGATTAGTAGGAAATGCTTCACGCTGGATATGCAGTTTAGAAGTACGTACGCAAATTTCTGTCTCCAAGGTAGTGTCGCCCGGAAACGTGCCTATAATTCATGCAGTGAAACATTTTCGTGAGGCTTCTGCACACTTCATTTGACTCGTGCACATAACAAAGAAATAGTTCTTGATACCATCCTTCCAGACACCACTTTCCACAATTTGCACGCCTGAATTTCGTGGTGGCGGGCGGCAGATCGACTGACTAGCGTGGCCGTGTGCCGCTCGTCTCGTGCCTGAGGGGCGCGCCGATTTGTCTGCGGTGCGCAACCTGCGCAGCGCGCACTGGAGGCCGGCTGACCTCGGCCTCCGCCGGCAGGCTCCCGGCGGCCACTGACCGGCGCCGAGCGCGCCCGTCGCTACCGCGAGCGCAAGAAGCTCAAGAAGCTGTACGAGGCACTGCTGGGTGGCTCGCCGCGGCGCGAGCAGCTGACCGTGCAGCTGTGACGCGCTACGGTCCACGGCCGACTCCCCGCCACCGACGCTGGCGGCACCGGCTGGTGGTGACGCCACGGGCTGATGGTGACGTCACAGGCCGGCGGTGACGTCACGGTCCGGTGGTGACGCCGCGGGCTGATGGTGATGTCACATGCTGGTGGTGACGTCATGGGCTAGTGGTGACTTCGCTGGCGATCGGTGACATCACCAGGTGATGTCATGTGTAGCCTCTGATGGCGCCGGTGTCGGATAGGACGATGCTGCCGTCCGCTGATGGCGTTATCGCCCGTTGGTGCGTCATCGACTCGCAGTGACGTCACCGACCCACGGTGACGTCCGACACCGGTGCTGACGGTACCAGCAGCTGTCGGTGGGTGTCTGGACGGAGGCAGCTACGGACGCGCCCCGGGGGTGGGTTGTGCCATAATACCGTGACCACGGCGGCCGGCCGGCCCAGTACAAAGTCGGCGCACGCGCGGCGCATGGCGCTGGCGCCGAGCTGACGGCGGCGCCCGTGCAGTCTGGTCAGGAGAGAAATCAAAATGGCGCCGTGGCGACCGATTTATTTCTACGTCTTTTGAGGTTTTTGTTGCGTGGGCGTGTGAAGAAACGGCCGTAGGATAGTTGTGGTTGGATGGTAGTCTGAGACTTTAGGCTGGTAAGGAAGTGGGCGGCCGGTGTCACGGCAGTCTATCGTCAGTTCCCTTCAGCGACGCCTGGTCGGCCGGATCAGCCATTCCACTACGAAATGACGTGCGTTATGCTCGCCTGCCACAAAGCTCCGATCAAAGATGAAGCGGGCGTATCGGGGGTGTATTAATGAGTGGCCGGCTCTTGACTCAACGAAGATAAATGCCTCATAGTTACGATATTTTTCAAGGCTGCAATGGTTGTGTTTATTTGTGTCCGGCAGAACTGCGCCCATGAGATTTTCTGCTTGGTAGATCTGCTTGCCGGTTGTGGAATGTAGATACGCTCAAGCGGCGGGTAGCCATGCAGTGCTCCAGGAGGACTGCAGTTACTAATCAAGGTTGTAGCCATTGGAGTGTCGTGACTCTGTCGATGGATGTTAGGGCCCAGGGCGGCGCGGCCTGGTGTCTGCGCGGTCCGCGGCCTGGTGTCTGCGCTGTCCGCGATCCCTGTGCTGTCGCGTGCGGCTGGGGTGCCGCGCTCTCGTGCCCAGCAAGCTCATCGGTGCGGTCGGGCCCCCGCTCCGACGCCAGGGCGTTCATGTATGTGCCAAAGTCTGACACCCGGTCCGCTGCGCGCCGGCGGCCGGGCTCGTCCCAGCTGTCGTCGGCCCCGGGTCGGCGCGTCCCGGTGAACCGGCCGCTGGCGGCACAGGCCATCCCGGCACACGGCTCCCGCGTGGAGGCCGCCCAGCGGGGACGCGCGCCTGCTGTTGACAGGTTGTGGACGTGAGAGGCGGGCGGAGCAGCGGCCAGCGCTCAACCGCCGATGCTTGGACTAACTTTCAGCCGTCTTGGATTTCGTTACTGCAGCCTCGAAGGCCTAGGGTTGGATGCGACTCTTTTGAAGCACCTACCATCCGGTGCGTAAAAATACCTCCGTGGAACAAACGTGGTTGTTCTGTTACTCAGTCGGATGATTTGTGTTGTGTCTTGCCGTTTCTATGTTTCTGAAACGCTCCCGGTTGTCCGTGCGGTACTTCCTTACCACCATGCTTGCTTCATGTCTTTTGTACAACAGGCTGGAACGCATCAGCACAGGGAGCGAGGTCGTGTCGGTCGAGTGCTTTTTGTTCTTGATGTGCGTAATAAATCAGTGTCACACTAACGTAGACACGAGTTTCATTGCGGCTCCGGCCGGTATCAGTTTGCGCTTGTTTTGGAGGCACAGTGTTTCTGCCGCACTGATTGTGTTGTGCATTGTCAAGAGCGCCCGGCACACCCCAGTTTAAAGAGTGGTAAGAGCAATTTGACACACCAGCTACCTATCAGTGATGGTGGTATCCTGTCTCCATTGCACGTTTCCTGATATTGAAGAAAGTGAGAAAATACCGGGTTGTTTGTTTCATTTTGTTCAGATAACGGGATTCCTCCGCAGCGGGTGTGATTCAACGCGGTATATACATTGGACCCCGTCGTATTTCAACTACGGATTGTGAAGCATCGAAGCCGTGACGCGTTTGTGCTCTCGGACTCCCAGTTCGACTCTCCGATTCGACAGGAAACTACGGCCATTCCACCGCCTTCAATAGTGTGTGAAGGGTGAGGGGAAAAAGCTGGTGTGACAAAGCTGCTGAGCCGGGCGTTCCTTTATCACCAAGATAGCAACATTACGTTAATTTTCACAGAAGTTGACGTCGCTGCTGCATAGTAAGTACGAAGGCTGGGGCTTCTCGACGTACTACGCTATGCACAGAGGGGGGGGGGGGGGGAGGGCTTCGTGGATCATAACCAAAGCGTAACAAGAAGGAGGGGGGGGGGGGGGGGGCGGACAGTGTGACGTGACATTCGTGCTTAGCAATTACTCGTGTTTAGTTCTTTTCATTTTTTTTAACCTTTAAGCTGGATATCCCTGGTTCCCTTTCATATCTAACCACGTTCCAGTCCTCGTGCTCCTAAAACTCATTTAGGGGACAAAACTTTACTCGACCACAGTGGGGGACCGACATGAAAGCGTTCGCCATTATTTCACTCAGGGAGGGCAAACCAATTTACACATATGGGGTGGGGAGGGGAAAACTGGCGCTCAGGAGCCAGTTCACACAGCATGAACGCCAAACTGGAGCGAAGTTTCGCGAGATAGTGGCGCAAGCAAACCGTTTTTTGTGGAAAATAAAATGTCCATCGCGTATTCCCTTCGTTATTCTTTGGCCTGCCGTTATCATCACCGTGTGCCGTGTGTGTATATGACCAATGCTTTTTTCTCGAAATAGTATAGCTCGCCCGTAAGTGACAAGACGTCTATGCGCTCACCTATAGGAAAGTAGTATGAAAACAGTTGCTGCGCCTGAGGCTATGACCCAACCAGATTTAGCAGCCTTCCTAGTTCGAAAATAGTACTGAAATAGAAGAAATAGCACGTGGATGGCAAAGAAGTAAGTGAACGGAAATGGTACGTAATAAGAAAAGTGGTGAAAACGAGGTATTTTCAACACGTAAACAGTTAAAAATAGGTACAGAAAAAATCACTTGAAACAAAACGGCGGATGCCGACACCGCGCAGAGGCTACAGCAGGGGACAGTGGTGTTATGCCGCGTGGGGGCGGTGTTGTGTTATTGTGCAATGGTGCGGAAGGTGCAAAACCTTGAAGTAAGGGTACTCAGATGCTAAGCACGCTAGAGGATGTCAAGCAATTGGCTGAACACCTTAAAAGCATCTGTCTGGTGATGAGTGTTCAATCGGAAGCCGCAGACTCACCAGTCTGCACAAGTTCTATCCATTGCCCTGGACGCCCACGCGACGTCCCTGTTCTAAGCCAATCGCGCCCGCCTGCGTAGAACTCAGGCCGGCAAGCTCAGGCAAAGAAGGCATAGTCTTAAGAATATTGTAATTACCCTCTCAAGACAATGTCTGCAAGGAACATTGAGTCTCTAGTAGACGTTTATATAGACGTTAAATAGAAAACGTTGGCTCGGCTTCGGTGTTGGGTTCCCGTGGCTTGGTTCTTGTTTTTAAGATTACTGGAAATGCTCCAGTTCAACCGACATTGAAATTAGGAGTGCAATAATAAGGCAAGAAGTAGAAAGAAGTGCGATGATAAGGCAAGAATGTAGGAGTCTTTCTGGTCTGCGCGTGATTGGCCGTAAGTTATTATTTTTTTATAAATTTGGTCCGAATCCTTTGAATGGGTGGATTTCTGGGATCAGCGCTCACGCTAAGCAGTGCTTGTTGTATGAGCCCTGACCCCCACCATCCGATCGCGCAGTTCCAGGCAACGGCAGAATTTAGTGGTGAAAGTTTTACGTGCCGCAACGCTCGGCACGGTCCGTCCTGCCCTCTGACGTCAACTGACCTTTAGCGCGACCGCTGCCACCGGCCGCAGGCCATGCCTGCCAAGGGCAAATAGCGAGCGCCCTAAAGCGACTCGAACCCATCCAGCCACGGATGGGTGGGTCGGAATGCAGGCGCTCTAACCAACTGAGCCACCGGGACGGACGGTTATCAAATATTTGATACAAATGATCAAAATCATGTCACGTTTGAAGGCTCAGTGCACCAACAGACCATTTGAGACACGAATGTGCAGAACTGGGACACTTTTCTTGGTTTCTCGTATGTCCGTGATTTGGTGCGTATATTGCCATTTTAGGACAAGCTATAAATGGTCTGCCGCCTTCGTGTTAAAAATCACAACTGGTCTCTTGCTGAAAGTATAATATTGCCAGATGGCAATTTCATAAGCGGGCTTATGGCTGTGCGTATTCACCCTCCAAAACGTAGGGCGGTTACGCACCGGGCTTATGCACCCTCCAAAAATCTTTCAGATGGTTGTACATGTCAGACATACGTGCATTGGCAGCCTTGGAGGCAAGGAAGTGCAAAAATGCAGAATCCTGTGCGAGGAGTCGGTTCCATGCGGGATAAACATCAGACGATCACTGTGGTATTGTAGCGCAGCGAATTACGGCAGTGTTTCAACATGTTCCGCTGCGCCGTTTGGAAATATAACCAACTCAAGTTGATTGCAACGCGTCAAACCGCGTTTATGGGATTGTGCCTGAAATTATGGTGTGTTTGAGGCTTTTGTGCGGTATGCACGAAAGGTGAAGAAGTGTATTGTACACGGTGCTGTTTGTGTGTGCGGTAGCCATTTGTTAACTTGATGGTAATGTTAAAGGCACAGGTTTTTCTCCATGATTTTAGTGTAAGGCAGCATTGGGCCGCTAGTTGCGGGGAGTTGAGTATGCCATATGAGCAACATAGTCGGTGCGCCCCAAAGCCCAAATCATCACAGGGAGTTGAGTGTTTTGCTTGCTGTCTTGCACTATGCTTGATTGTGTGTGTTGTGTTTCTATAGCTGCATTTTTGAGGACGTATGAACCTGGTGGTACAAAATATACTGCATTGTTGTTATGTGTTGTAAAGGTAATGCATCTCTTCAATTAATCCAGACACTGCTCAGATAACTAGCCTCTTTTTTGACTTTTTGTTTGAAATAATTTTGAGGTATGAGATGTGAGCAGTACAAATGACAGCTAGCAAACATAATGCTCATGCTGTGAATATTTATGTATAGGATTAGGTTGCAATCTCATCTGATCACATATTATGGTTGTTTTGGGGCTGAATTCCATGTCACATCAATTTTTCATCATCACATTGTCATCCTTAGGTATATGAGTGCATGTAAGCACATTATGTGATGGATATATAATTTCCATGAAAGTGATGAGGTATGACATTTTTTGTAGCTGTTCCATTGCATGTTTGGTGGTCCAAGCTTCATAACTTGCTGTGTGAGTCTAATTATATCAAGGGTATCATAAAGGCTAGTTCTTCCCTTGAAACCTGATGATAACTATAGCACTCCACTTTTTTGCTTAGATATACCAGGGACCTGCAATGAAATTGTCAGAGACAGGTACCCAAGAGGGAGGTGTGGAAAGAGGGGTGTCTGCAGCCCTTACAGTGAGAAGAACTGTCACAAGACTGTGCTGCTGTGAATAGACATTGGCCATGCATTGGTGCCCTAAGCCACCAGGAGTGAGAACTGTATATGCCATATAGAAAAATGTTGTGACCAGGTCTTTTACATATGTCCCATTGTCATTGATGTTTAGAATAAGGACACTGTATGGCTGCTCCTGGTACTTGGAAAATCATGCCAGAGTGTGTTATGCATGGACAGATACAGGCAGGCTGTGCAATAGGCATTGTCTAATTGTTACAATAAAGTTTGCTTTCCTCTTTTGCAGACAAATTAAAATTTCTACCTCTGAAAATGATGAAATCTGCATTTCAAACGAGACATGAGCAGAGCGGTAGCTTTTATGCAGCAGCTTCAAAATTGATTTCCTTATGTGCACATGGCTCTTGAATGTTTTTCAAAGGTCATAGTAAGTTGTATCAAACGACAGGTTTTGATCTCTTCAGGCACTAAGATGACCTGATGCAAGATTATAAGTGATTATATTGGATTCCTGTGGGATGAGCAATCTGGAAACATGTGTGACATGACTGGCATACTGCGTGCCATGTTGGCCTCATATGACCCTGTCTTGACATCCTACCTACATCTTGACTATGTAATGACCAGAAAAAATGGTAGCTGACATGTAGGCTGCATAACACAATCAAAATGAACATGAAAATATTTTGAATCAGACTGCATGAATACAGCAAATTATCACAGTAACATTTGGAATAACCTTGACCTGACCCATTGTGGCATCTACATGTTCGTGACACAGCATCCTCATTTACCCAAAGAGCATATACTTTTTGAGGAAATGAAACACTCCAATTGACCCAGCCCCTGCAAACATTTAATGGGGGTCTGCAGGCCTTTGCCCTGACCTTGACCTTTCATGTCAGCATGATTTCTAATTGTTGTTTCTTTAAGATGCAAACCTTGCAGCTGATATTATGGCCTATTTGGAGAAGAAATAGTCTTGTCATAGTCTTGTTGGATGGGAAGGTGTATGATTAAACCAAGGCTGTCACCTCTAATGTGTTCTTTTGTGTATATTGCTTGCATCTTGAGAAAATGCTAACATGAAACATGAAAAAATGAAAATGAAAAAGTTCTTGATTTCGCATCACCCAACTTAGGTATGACGCGACTGAAACAAAGCAGGGCTATTTCGTTTCTCCCAGCAAACTGACGAGCAG